GTGTTAGGCTTCACAAGGGAGGAGTGCTGGGCCCTCGGAAACCTGTCCCGAGGTCAGTGGCAAGCCGCCTGAACCCCAGGAATCTATAAAAATGAATGTGAAAAAAAAACCATATTAAATATGGTAATCAGTTTTCACACTGATTAGAACAGATACTACACTTGATCTTAGCCAAAAGGCCGAGAAGGTATGATTTTTTTCTGAAATCGTCGTTTTACTAGCTAGTAGCTTTACTGCAATTGTGATTATTTACGTACCTGCATAAGTGCGATCTGTGGGGTATACAGTAATTTGGATATGAATTAAGTCCGGGGTTGTAACAATGAATACATTGTGTAAAGCATTGTATGTTTGTATAGAATTCAACAGGTTCTGTTGAATTGGATAGACACCCCCTCTCTTAGGCAAAAGGGTAACACTCTCACTTGGCATGGAATAGAATCCTTCGGCACATCTACGTGCACATGTTGCTGGGCAATGACACGTTGTATTATCTGTTGACAGTCGCTGGCACACTTGGTGGAGGTCAATAGAATCCCGCTGTCCACCTCCTGCATTGCCCTTGGTCATTCCTGCTCATGACACACACAATTACCAGGGATACGCCATACTCCAACGGCAAATGTAACTGGGACGTCGTCTTGCGAGCCTTGGGGGCAGTCGCACGCAATCCCACTGTGGAAAAACTGCACACACAGTGCACAGCTCTTGGTCCACTCGACTTGAAATGATAATCGCCATCCTTCCCAGAGAACTACACACGTTCGAGACATGTTGAACTTACTCGACTTGAAATGATAATCCCCATCCTTCCCAGAGAACTACACACGTTCGAGACATGTTGAACTTTTGGTTTCGCCAACGATGTTCTAGCCCGCATCAACCCGCAGTGGGGCACTCGAACCAACTTTCGCGAGTTTGGATGAATAATGCATAGGAATTATCAGGTGACCTGTAGCAATGAAGCGATCGCCACTCGGATAAGCGGTACGTGATAAACATTACATGGCACCATGCCACACGCATCAGTTGTCGTTGGTGCTGCCACGCCATCACCATCATGTTCCCTTCCACGTCCTGGTGGCGATGAGCGGGCCAGCAATGCGTGGCAAACTGGTTTCGGGGTCAACGCCCCACAAGTCTGGCCCCATGACGGCCGCCGACAACGATGGCCATAGTCTCAAGATATACGTGAGCACCTTGTGGGGGACTTGGCGGACTTATGTAGAAGCATATTCACATCCGGAGTCGGGTGAGGGTCTAACTCGACTACCACGTCGCTCATGTACTAAGTATCGACCCACCGACTGCCTTGCCAATATTCGTCGGGAGACCGAGTTCAAGGCAGTTAGCGACATGAGCACTGAGTGGGTCACTATCCGCCGAGAAGTTGAGGTAACTTGTGAAAGTACAGGGGTTTCTGGGTTTCGGGTTCGTGTACATGCACTTGACCTGGGTTACATGCGCTTGACCTGGGGTTGTAAATCAGCGCTCCCTGACAAGCTTGCGTAAGACGAGGCTGCAATCCGGGGCGGCGTCCCAACCTGTTCCAGTGTGCGCGTAGCTTCAAATGAGTGGTCAGGGATCGTCCCAACAGCTGAGTGGACCTCGATAGGCGAGGTATTGATGAAAGACAACACCAAACTGTACACGTAGGCACACAATAAATGTGCCGTCATGTCGTGAATACAGCACGAACGGGTTACGAACCTGGTCCCTACGGACATAGCAAAAGGTTCGTGCTGTCGAGTTTCCGGAGGGTGGCCAAACAGTGGCGATTCCTTCGTTCAAAAGGCACCAGTAAACGTGGGACAGCGCGTGATGGCGGCACGAGACCAAGTCCTCCATTTGAACGGAAGTCGTTTTGGGAGCTTGCAACAGCCGGCACACTCGTGGGCAACGTCCAAGTCGGAAGTCACCAACGATATGCGAAGAAATCCAAGGAGGATATGCAAGTACGAGGGCGAGGATACGACCAATGGCTCGCACTTCCAATCCACCCTTATGCCTTGGACGTTATCGGAATGGTAGTTACAGCTGGTTACGACGACGCTGCAATCGCTCGCTTAGCGTCGTTCTTTGGTGTACCATAAACGGACTGGAAGGTCACGCAAATGGGGCTACAGCATCGATTGTGATTACGGCTACAGGCGCTGCTTCCCCGACGTTATGTAGCACACATTACATGTACTATGTAGTACATATACAACTGTCATGACACCGAAACACCGCCAGACACAAGAAAGCTGACACAGTCCGGTCGAACAATTGTTCAAAACCTTGTTAACAGTAAGTAGCTTGAATTATGCTAGTCGTCATTGACAGTGTGACGTTGACGTGAAAGAAATGCGTTCCGGGAGTCGAACCCAGGATGGCACGGCCGCACCTTGAAGTTTCGCGTGCACCTGCTCATCCATATCGGTTTAGTGCCCACATATCCGCATTCCACAGAGAAAACACGAGTCACATCCTCCTCGTTCACGAAAATGACAGCTTCTTTCATGTCGTCGGGCACATCCCACTTGATTTTCCCCATGTGCTGCTTGATCTTATCGCTGTCCACTGGGAACACGTCTCAAACAGTGCGATTTCGCTGCTCAATCGAGACGACTCGGCGTGCGCCATCGTGTCCATTCTTCTTCGCGCGAATGCCACTTTAAAATATTACAGACTTGAATATTATCATATCCAATCACACGGCATGACCTTCCATTTAAGCTAGATAATGAAAGAGTTCAGGAATTATATGCACTACATACAGTATGTACCTTATTGGAATGTTCACTCCCTTGTGTAATAATATATTTGAACATTATTATCGATATTTTGCATTAGCAAACAATTATTTATATTATCGTCGAATATCTTGATCGAGGCGCCATTTTAGATAGTCGCAATAAATATATTATTTCGGAAGCCTGGTTTAAAGCAACTCTGGGCCAGTTCATTTGGAGACTTCCCAAGGCATAAAACTACTTATATTCAACTCCAATGCTCATTTTCATTACAAGTCGTTGTCTCGAATGTAGCGGTTCCCTTCGCTCTCCTTGATTTCCGCTCTACAACACCATGATAAGGTGTCGACGCGACCAAGACAAGATGTAACGTTACCTGTATCTTCCCATGGTCATGACTGCGCGTCCATTCCGCTCCACCTTTTGAGGCGTAAAGTACGCGTTGGGGTGATGGTCCTCCTCGTGGTCGTCGTTGTTGTCACGTGAAGCTTGGCCACCAAAGCGCTTGGTAAGTCCCGTCGCAATGTACTCGTCGATCACTTGAATGCACGGATCGCACACACGAGCGCTCTCTTCGCTGGTCTCGGTGATGTCGCGATGGATATGGGTCGTGCGGCTGGTCGAGCACGAGTCGCACACCACAGCACCACATCGACGGCAGTGGTGCTTTCGGTTCCAGAAACTGAACTCGCCCTTGCAGGCCATGCACGCCATGACAGATACGTCAGGGATCCAGTCTCCGTCTGGCATGTGCTTGCGCCATGAGCTGTGGAGCGGGTCCTTGGACTTGGTCGCCACGTTGCTGTCCTTCGCCATCACGTTTCCTTCTTCGAACTGTGAAGATCGAAACAACATGTAGAACATCGGAAATCACCTCTCACATATAATAATAGAAAATGAAAGGATCTTCCAAGGCACGCAGTATCCGTAATCTTATTCGGATATGCGTTACGACCCTGACACTTTCACATGTTTCAGCGGGCGTCCTTTAGGCTCCTGGACGAAGGCAATGCCCACGTCGAACTCAGTCCGAAGCATGACAGCGCCGAACCACCGGGACAAGGCAAAGCTAAGTCCATTTTACCGCCACATCTTCGGCCCTGGCTTCCCTTGCTCGTGTATGCAGTGACGGCCGTGTCCACCCTGGCCACCATGACGTACTTTAGCTTCTTTGCAGCGACAGTTGACGGCACTGCGCCAACGATGATGGGATGTCGATACTTTGGCTATTGGAATGGCCCTACATGTGGCCTCAACGGCATCGATTGCCAGCCCTTTGAATCGGATTGGAAACCCATCCGTTGCCCCACTCGGTGCCTTTGGGGTACAAACTTGTGCGAGGCCCATGGTTCCCTGGCTTTAACAACCCCTCTTAGATAGTTCATCGGTGCTGGAAGTGATTGGATCCGGTGTTTACAAGTAACCAACCCAAATCTACCTCTTGTGTTGTTCCTAATCACGAGATGTAGGGGCGACTCGCGTATTTGCAAGGCTGCTATCCACGCTGGCGTCTTGGGCACCGATGGCGGCTGTGCCATGATGAAATACTCGGGTAAATATAATCGTCCCTATCGCCAAGTTATTTCCCTCACTCTAGTGGCCTTTCAGGCAGTCGCACCAACTTTGAAGCGTCCACGGCGTTTGGCGTGACGTCGCAGGCGTTTGACTCGTGGTTCCCCAAAACGTTTGAGTTTAAACAAGCCCCCTCGGCCAGCCATTGCACCGATTTAAGCTGGGGAATCCTCGCCGTGGGGACTTTAGCGTGTTTTGGCCTCGTGTTTTTTCCCTTGCCTCCCGTGGTTTTAATCCACACCATGAGCATTTGGGGGTTCGTTTACGTGGCATTGATTGCCGCGCCGGACGGTATAGCCAGGTTCCTCCCTCCATTTACGGACGTTTGACTTAATCGTCATAGGCTACGACTACAAGGCCATCCTTGTGCGTCTTTCAACCCAGGTGTTCATTGTCGTGGCGGCGGTGCACTGCTGGTACCACTGGGCCATCAAGTACACCTTTGCGGACTTTGCGTCGGCTTCCAAACTGGTTGGGGGTTTCGGGGTTTGCATTTTATTATAATCTCTGTATATTGTGATAGATTCAAGCGATACTTTGGGGATTGGGCTACGTGATTCCATTCCACGGGATGCTGCACTTGTCGTTTTTGGCGTATATTCCGTGGCTCAACTTTGACTTGGGCGGGTACAAGTACAACGACGTGTCCCACACTGCCACGTACGTCGTGCTGGTCGTGGTCGGGCTGGTCCTCTTGGCCACGGTCGCGTTTCTATTGGTCCACCTCCACCGCCAAAGCAAACTTTACCGTACACTGACTGGCTACGTGCTCTTGACACTGTATTGCTTGTTTGTGTACGCGTTGTTTCCGTCCACGATCTTGCACTTGCACCATGTGATGGTGGGTGTCGCCTTACTACCCCTCACTCGAGTCCCCAAATGGCCGGCCTTTGCCGTCCAAGCAGCGGGACTCGGGCTCTTCATCCAGGGGTACGCCGCGTGGGGCTGGCCCACCTTCCTCGATATCTTGCGTACGTGTGCCTGATTAACTAAATTTAGTTACTCATGTGAGATATTAGCGCCATCGTATCGGATTGATATTGGCGAAGTCGCCCCCGTGGCGCTAAACATCACGGCGGCGGCGGCCAACGTGACGTGGCAGCCTCTCGACGCAGTATTCGGTTACGCCCTCATGCTGAATGGGGTGCAGGTGGCTCGAACCGACCGAACGTGGGCCACAGTGGAAAACCTCCAGCCAAACCAGACGTACTACGTCCAAGTGTCAGGCATCGGCAACGGAGGCACCGACGGCTGGCCTGGCGCCAAAGGCAACTTCACTACTGCTCTAGTATAACGTAACCCTATTAGTTAACGTGAACTAAGGCACTTTTGTATTGATTGTTGAACTTGCAGTAACATGTAAGGCACTTTGTTTATTAAAATACAAGTGTCACTGGACATAATAAAATGACGATTGGTTGTGTCACGTGACCTGAGATAAGTATTTAAAACCAACGGATGGAAAATATTTTGTGTCACTCGAGCGGTGTAACCGCCAGCCGCCAAACGTTGAAGCGTCGTCAGTTTCATTCGATCGCGCATCATGGACGATCGGAGCGGCGCCAAGCGCAAAGCGCCCGCCGATCCATTCTCGGTGGATCAGACGCAAGCGCATGCGCTGCTCAAGCAACGTATCTACCAGCCCAGAAACGGCGGCAGCATCAACACTGCTTCGCCTGGACTGGTGCCTCGCCCCAAGAAATTGCTCAGTTCTTCCGTGTCTGTGACGCGGCTGCCCAAGCAACTCGTGAACCCCAAGATGAAACCCACTGCCAGCACTCCCCTCCTCCCGCCGCTGCAGCCGTCACCCCGAAACCCCGCCTCTTTGGCTTGCATTCCTTCTCCACTCGTATCGGTCGAAGAGTGCTGGGGAGAACAACGCAGCACAGCCCAGAATACGTTCACAGCGTCGTTAAACCTCGATGCCCGGTACCTCCACGAGTTTGAGTGTGGCAACTTTTTGTACTTGGAGCGCAAACCGCACTCGGACCAGGTCGTGTACGATCTGCAAGTGGTCGAGCAGTACGCCACGAATCAGTACAACTACTACACGATGAGCAAAGCGGGTGTCACGCACTTCACCACGGACGCGTCCGAGTTTTGCGCCCTGGACAAGTGGGAGCTCGAGTACCAGCGCTTCACAGCCATGCGGAGGATCCCGTTCTTTCAGAAGTACCGTGTATGGAAGAACTACAACGTGTGGAAACAAAACATCCACTTGGCCAAGATGCAGCACGCCAAGAAAACGCTCAACACGCAGCTGTTCCTGCTCAATCCGCAGCTGCAGGGGACTCTCTTGCGTCTGCGGGCACTGACGTTGTCGGTGCGTGTTTACCGTCCGTTTTGAATTCCGGGTCTCATCGCACTTTGTGTGGGTGTAGGTGACCCAAGTGTCGCTGCTCCGCCTTGTGCCCAAGAGAACGTACACGCTAAGTCAGCTCGAACACGAGCAAACCCAGGCCATCGTGGATCTGTCGGCGTCGCTCGCGTCGTTCTCGAGCCAAGTGGTGCAGCTGTGTGTGTCAGCTTGCGACGCGGTTGTGGACTCGTTCCTTGAGAAAAACAAAATCGTAGCCGAGCACAAGATGACCTTCATGGAGCGCGCCGCCCTGCGCAAGGAGTGTCGCAGCCTCACCAACTTTCTACGCCTCGCCGATGTGCTCGTGATCGACGCCATGATGCAGCTAAGTGTCACGAGTTTCCAGACGTTCCTGGCGCAGTGTCGGGACAGCGCTGTGCCGTTGTTTTCCGTGCTCGTGGACACGGACGCGACTGGTTCCATCGTGCCCACTCCGAGCGCTGACACGTGGCGCCGTAGCTTTGAAGTGCTATTAAAGCAGTGCCTCACCGTCACGGACGTGCCCGAGCGGCTGTTGGGGCACCCGAAACTGCTCGGTTACACGTCCGCGACGGCCGAAGACGAGGGCAAAACCAGCTGGAGCATCTCGAGCCTCAACTTGGCCACCTTGTTGAACGACGACGCGGGCTTCAACACCGTGTCGAGCGAGATTTTCGCAGCGTTAGACGACGCTTTCGAAGCCGTGGATGCGTATTTGGAGGTGTTCTTGCCCTTCTTTGAAGTGTACGTGCAAGATCTCGACACGATGGCGCACCCCGAGCGGTTCCACGACGTCTCGATCGAGCAATTCAGCGACGAAATCGCAGTGTTTGAGGGCCAAATGAAGGCGTTTGTGAAGATCCCGGCGTCGGCCGTGGTAGGTGTGTTCCGTGTGGACAGCGACCAGTTCAAGCAGCGGCTACTGCCCACGCCCCAGCAGTGCATCGTGTGCATCAAGACGCTGCTCCCACAACTCATGAAGGAACAATCCCAACGCATCATGGACGTGCTCACGGAACTGTCCCCGCTCGCGTTCAGCACACCGTCAACCCCCGACAAGTTCGTGGGCAAGGTTGTGCACATGGAGAAACTGGGCACAATCCTGCCCGACGTCAAGCTCAAGTACCGGCGGGTGTACGACATGGCGTGTTTGATGGACAACTTTGAGTGGCGCGTGCCGGACGACATCAAGGAAGACATTATTTTGATGAAGGAGGGCGTGATTTCCCTCGAAGGCACACTCAGTCGGTTCGACACGGACTTGGAGGCGGAATCAGCTCGGTTCACACAGCTCATTAACGACATGCTGCCCCCTCTGATGAAAAACGTGCTGACTTTGCAAGCCAAACTGCAGCACCCCAAGCTCGAAACGATGCAGACGCCGATCGGCGATGCGCTGGCGTACATTGCCGACCAGCAGCAGGTCCTCAACCAACTCGTCGCGGAAGCCAAGACCCTAAACGAGTACCAGGCGCAGCTTAAGCAGCCTTTGTCTGAATTCACCGAAGTGCAGGAAGTGGTCGACGATCTCACGCTCAAGTCCAAGCTGTGGACGGCGTTGGGCGAGTGGGAACAGTGTACCGTCAAGTACAACGACACGCCGTTCGACCAAATTGATGTCCAAGCTATGGGGGGCCAAGTGCAGGCGTACATGAAGTTGGCGTCACAGGCGCAACGGGCGCTGCCCCAGAATGAAGTGGCGGCGGTGCTCGTAGCTCAAGTGGACCAGTTCAAGCTCGTGCTGCCCATAATCAACGACCTCCGCGGCACGTTTCTCCAGGATCGGCACTGGAGCCAGATCCATTCGATCCTCGGGTTTCCAGTCCAGGGGGACACGAGCCTGACGCTGGGCACGCTCATGGAGAGGCAGGCCATGACACACGGAGAGGCCATATCGGTCGTGTCGGTGGCGGCACAGCAGGAGTCGGTTCTGGAGGCGATGCTGCACAAGGTGGCCGCGGTGTGGCACAAGCTCGAGCTCGAGGTCAAGCCGTACAAGGACTCGAAGGACGTGTTCGTGCTGGGGGCGGTGGACGAAGTGCTGGCGGCGCTGGACGACTCGATCGTGACCATCAACACCATCTTGGGCTCGCGGTTCATCGGCGCCATCCGGGAAGAGGTGGACGCGTGGCGCAAGAAGCTCGTGGGGCTGCAGGAGACTCTGGACGAATGGCTGCTCGTGCAGAAGAACTGGATGTACATCGAGAACATCTTCTCGGCCCCTGACATCCAGCGTCAGCTACCCGAAGCGTCCAAAGTGTTTGCCCATGTGGATCTATCGTGGAAAGCCATCATGAAACGAACCAACGACTCGCCGTTGGCCATCGCGGCTGGGTCGTTTCCGGGGATCAAGGAGACACTGACCCAGCACAACGTCCACCTTGACAAGATCCAGAAGAGCCTCGAGGACTACTTGGAAACCAAACGCATGGCGTTCCCGCGCTTTTACTTTCTCAGCAATGACGAACTGCTGGAGATCCTCGCCCAGAGCAAAAACCCTCACGCGGTGCAGCCGCATCTGCGAAAGTGCTTTGAAAACCTCGTGCAGCTGGAGTTTGGAGAAGGCAGCGTCGACATGCTCGCGATGATTTCCAGCGAAAAGGAGCGCGTCCCACTCGGGAAAAACCTCAAAGCTAGAGTACGTAGTACTTGATTGCATGCGATTGGGGTTTCGGGGTTCCGGGGGTTCGGGGTTTGGAAACGCTAACGTTTTGGTGACAGGGCAATGTCGAGGATTGGCTCAAAGCGCTCGAAGTCAGCATGAAAGCATCCATTTACAAGCTTATGAAAGTCGGTTTGGCCGACTACGACACAAGATTACGCAAGGAATGGGTCTGCGAGCACCCAGGTACGATAGTAATGTATTTCCTACAATATATTATAAAACATATTTCTACTATTATAGGTCAAGTGGTGGCTACGGTGGCGCAGATGACGTGGGCGCGCCAGACAGAGCTCGTACTGGTCAAGGCCCAGAGCATGCAAGAATGGCTGGGCCAGGTCGTGTCCGAGCTGAACGATTTGATTGTTAAAATCCGCGGTCACTTGACGTCGTTGGAGCGCAAGGTGATTGTGGCGTTGGTCACGACGGACGTGCACGCCCGAGACATTGGTAGGATTCGAGTGACTCGAGTTATGCTCACGAGTTTTTGTGTCTAGTCGAGTGTTTGTGGAAGGAAAACGTGACGAACGTGGGCAACTTCATCTGGCAGCAGCAATTGCGGTACTACTGGGACCAGGACGTGGACGACGTGCTGATCAAGCATTCCGACTCGGTTATTCAGTACGGCTACGAATACATGGGGGCTACCTCTCGCCTAGTGATCACGCCGCTCACGGATCGATGCTGGATGACGCTGACTGGCGCGTATGGCCTCAAACTGGGCGCGGCCCCCGCTGGCCCAGCAGGCACTGGTAGGTTGACGGAGTTGGGAGTTTCGGGGTTCTAAAAAAGATCCTCCACAGGCAAAACGGAAAGCAGCAAGGATTTGGCCAAGGCGATGGCGATTCAATGCGTCGTGTTCAACTGCTCGGACCAAATCGACTACAAAATGATGGGCAAGTTATTTCGAGGACTGGCGCAAGCTGGGAATTGGACGTGTCTGGACGAGTTCAACCGCATTGACATCGAAGTGCTCAGTGTGGTGGCCCAGCAACTGCTCACCCTTCGCGAAGGTACTTGACTCTCTTACAATAAGAAACCCCGAAACCCCTTAAATCGTGGTGTTAGGTCGAATCCAACAAAAGGAGCACATCAACTTTATGGGCGTGGAGATTCTCCTCAAGGACCACCATGTAATCGTGACCATGAACCCTGGCTACGCCGGGCGCACCGAACTGCCAGACAACCTCAAAGTGTGCTTTCGGCCAGTGTCCATGATGGTGCCGGACTACGCGCTCATTGCCGAGATCATGCTGTTCGCCGAGGGGTTCTCGGATGCCAAGACGCTCAGTCGTAAAATGTGCAAGCTGTACATCCTCTGCAGCGAGCAACTCAGCCAGCAGCCGCACTACGACTACGGCCTAAGGGCGGTCAAGAGTGTGCTGGTCATGGCTGGGTCACTTAAACGGGCCAACCCGACCCTAACCGAAGACGTGACCCTGATCCGGGCGTTGCGTGACTCGAACGTGCCCAAGTTCCTCAGCGACGACCTCCCCCTCTTCCAAGCCATCGTGTACGACCTCTTTCCGGGTATTGAGATCCCGTCCAACGACTACGGGGAGCTGCTCGTGATGCTCGAGCTGCAGATCGCCAACGCCAAGCTGCAGAACGTGCCCACGTTTGTGACCAAGATCATTCAAATGTTTGACACATTCAACGTGCGCTTTGGAGGTAGTACATTATTTCACACATGAAGCTAGTGTTTATACATGTAATTACTTGTGTAGGCACGTTGGTCGGGCCCACGGGAGCTGGCAAGTCGACGTGCTACCGCATTTTGCAGAATACCATGACTGCACTGCGGGAAAAAGGGTCGACGAACCCGCTGTTTCAGGCAGTGCACACCCGGGTGCTCAATCCGAAATGCATTACTATGGGCGAATTGTACGGAGAATTCAACGAGTTGACCCAAGAATGGCACGATGGACTCGCGTCCATGATCATGCGCGAAGCCGTGGTTGAAGAAACCCCAGGTTTATTATGATTACAAATCCCGAAACACCGAACTTATCGGGACTTGTACTACTAACCCCGCAACCCCGTACTTATACGAACCCTCTTTTTTAGATTACAAGTGGACCGTGTTCGACGGACCTATTGACGCGCTATGGATTGAAAACATGAACACCGTTCTGGACGACAACATGACGCTGTGTCTGGCCAACGGCGAGCGCATCAAACTCAAGTCCGAGATGCGCATGTTGTTTGAAGTGATGGATCTCTGCGCCGCGTCGCCCGCTACGGTACACCCCTCTAATTAATTAATCGCACTAACCCCGGAACCCCTAGGTCAGCCGCATCGGCGTCGTGTATATGACGTCCACAGACGTGGGGTGGTACCCATACGTGCAAACGTGGCTTACGACGCTGGTGGGGCAGTTCCCATCTGACTGGCTCGGCCACCTCCGTACTATTTTGAAACCCCTCGCGGAAAAAACCCTCGAGTTTATCCGGTCGTTCGCCGTCGAGCCCGTGCCCACCGTGGACGTGAGTCTGGTCACGCATTGCTGCAAACTGGTGCAGTCGTTGCTGACGAAGTGCGTGGACAGCTCCAAACAATTCGGCTACTCACCGGAAGAACAGCTCGACATGGTCAACAAGTTGGTCGTGTTTTCGCTCATCTGGTCGTTGGGGGCGTCCATGAACCACACGACACTGGAAAAATTCGACGAGTTTCTCCGCAAGTTGCTCGAAGACAACGGTGCGTTTGTGATATGCATATATATGGATATATATCTTTTCTGTAGGGATCAATGTGCAAATACCGACACAAGGACTTGTATTTGACTTTTTCGTCGATTTTGCGACCAAGCGGTTCGCGTCGTGGAATGACATTGTGCCCGTGTTTAAATACAATCCAGCGTACGCGTTAAACTACTGTTCCACGACTTAACAATGCCTGAACCTGGTCCTAGAACCCCATACTTTGACATGATCGTGGCCACTTCCGACACGATTCGGTACACATATCTCCTGCGTACTTTAACCCTGGCCAACACGCCCGCGTACGTCACGGGGGTCACGGGTACCGGCAAGACGGTTATCATCATGGACCTCATTCGGGAGCTCACCACCGCCACCGACGACATCCCCGCAGGTACTATTTTCGAAAATTAACACAGTGTAGTTTAACGAATAATATCCCAGGGTTTGTGAGTACTACGCTGAGTTTTTCCGCACAAACGTCAAGCTTGGTGACCCAGCAGTCGATCGAATCGAAGCTGGAGAAGAAGCGCAAGAACCTCCTGGGGCCAGTCGCCAACAAGAAGATGGTCGTGTTCGTAGACGACGTGAACCTCCCGGCCGTCGAAGTGTACGGAGCCCAGGCCCCCATCGAACTGCTGCGGCAATTTCTGGACTTCAAGGGCTTTTACGATCGCGACAAGCTATTCTGGAAGGACATCGCCGACACGTCGTTCGTGTGCGCGGCGGCTCCGGCGGGGGGCGGGCGGTCGCACTGCACCCCCCGCTTCGTCCGGCACTTCCACGTGCTGTGCGTCCATCCGGCGCGAGAAGCCAGCTTGAAGCTGATCTTTTCCAGCATATTGGGGGGCTTCCTCGAGCGCTTTGCCGCCCCCGTGAAGGCGCTTCGCAGCGGCATCATCACGTGTGTGATCGAGGTGTATAACCGCGTATGCAGTGAGTTGCTGCCCACCCCCAGCAAGTTCCACTACACTTTCAACCTACGGGATGTGTCCAAGGTGTTCCAGGGCATGCTCATGATTACCCCGGCCAAGTGCAGCGACGTAGACACAATGAACAAGCTGTGGGTGCACGAGGCGTGCCGGGTGTTTGGGGATAGGCTGAACACGGTGCAGGACACGGTTTGGTTCGAAGATCTGCTGCTGCACCTCCTTGGCGCGCACTTCCAGGTCAAGTGGACGACTGAGACGCTATTCCATGGCCCGTGTCCGCTCGTGTTTGGCGACATCTTCCGGCCGGGGGTGCCCAACCCCGTCTACGAGATCTGCGAAGATGCCACCAAGCTGGTCAAGCTGCTCGAAAGCGCCAACGACGACTACAACATGCGCTTCTCCAACAAGATGAACCTGGTCTTCTTCCGAGACGCCATCGCCCACCTCCTCCGCCTCACGCGCATCCTGCGCCAGCCTCGCGGCAACGCCATGCTGATTGGCGTCGGCGGCAGCGGCAAACAGAGCTTGGCTCGGTAGGATCATGCATTGTCCTAAGTCTGGTTGTTAGGGTTTCTCTCGTTTTGAGTTCTTGGTGGACTTTTATTTTGACTTTGAGGTAGGTTGGCTGCGTTTACGCAAGACGCGGCGTGCCACCAGATCGAAATCACAAGAGGGTACGGCACCGTCGAGTTCCACGAAGACCTCAAGACGCTCATGCTCAAGGCGGGCGTCCAGGGTCAGCCCACCGTGTTCCTCTTCACCGACAGCCAAATCGTGGACGAATCGTTCCTGGAAGACATCAACAACGTACTCAACAGGTACGCTGCCACGTCATCCGTCGGGGGGGTTCGGGGTTGCCTTCATAATGCATGTAGTGGCGAAGTGCCCAACTTGTTTGCGGCCGACGAAATGGAGCGCATTGTGGGGGACATGCGGCCTGTGGTGAAAAACCTGGGGCTGCCAGAGACAAGGGACCAGTGCATCTCCACGTTTGTGTACCGCGTGCGCAACTTCCTCCACATTGTGCTGTGCATGTCTCCCGTCGGCAGCGCCCTGCGCATCCGGTGTCGAGCGTTTCCATCGCTCATTAATTGCTGCACCATCGACTGGTAGGAACTGCGATCGGGGTTTCGGGATTATGGGGTTTCGGGGTTCAGGAATTAATGGGAGTGGGTGTGATTAGGTACATGAATTGGCCAAAGGAAGCCCTACAAAGCGTTGCCCAGCGGTTCCTAGCGCATGTCAATTTGCCATCGGAGGACATTCGTGTGTCGTTAATCGACATGTGCAGCATCGTGCACACGACATCGAATGACTTTGCCACCGCATTCCAGAGCCAGTTGCAGCGACATGTGTACACCACGCCCAAAAGTTACTTGGATTTGATCCAATTGTACTTGAAAATGCTCAAAATCAAGCAAACGGAGCTCCAAAACATCAAGTCTCGCATGGAGGTAATAACCCCGAAACCCCGTGAAGCAACCCCGAAACCCCAAGTCGTGTAGATTGGGGTCAAAAAGTTGGACGAAACCAACTCGATCGTGGACAACCTCAAAGGCGAGCTGATCAAATTACAGCCGATTCTCACGCAAAAGGCCGCAGAAGCCGAAGTGTTGTTGAAACAAGTGTCCATCGACCAAAAGGCCGCCGCCGAAGTGCGCTTGCGCGTGTCCAAGGACGAAGCGGTATGTATCACCATATCTGAAACCCCGAAACCCCGGAACCCCGAATTCAAAGACCATGGCGTAGGTGGTGGGGAAACAAGCCGAGGAAGTGTCGATCTTGCAGGCCGACGCGCAGAAAGACCTGGACATTGCCATGCCAGCCTTGAGCAACGCCCAAACGGCACTGAATTCCCTCAGTAAAAGCGACATCACTGAAGTGAAATCGTTTGCGAAACCCCCCGAGGCCGTCGAGACCGTCATGAGCTGCGTGTGCCTCCTCCTGGGCGAGAAGCAGACGTGGGACGCGGCCCAGAAGGTCCTCAAGGACTCGAGCTTTATCGAGCGCCTGATGAACTACGACAAGGACAACATCCCGGCGCCGTTGCTCAAGAAGCTGAGCAAGTGCGTGAGCGAGCCGGGTATGTCGGTGGAAGTGGTGAGCAAAGTGAGCAAGGCCGCGACGTCCCTGTGTATGTGGGCGCACGCGATGGACGTGTACTCCAAGGTGGCCAAGGAGGTGGGTCCGAAGAAGGCGAATCTGGACGCGATGAACGAAAAGCTACAGGCGGCCAACGCCGTGTTAAAGACCAAACAGGACGAGCTCCGTGTTGTGAACGAGAAGGTCATGCTGTTGGAGAAGCAGTGCAAGGATACGCTGGACGAGAAGGACGCGCTGGCCAAAGAGGCCGGCACGACCGAGAAGCGACTGGTCCGGGCAGAAAAACTCATCTCCGGACTCAGCGTCGAGGGCAAGCGGTGGAAAGAGAGCGTCGCGTCGTTGGGCGACGGCATCTTGGCCATGGTATGGGGCTCCGGGGTTTCGGGGTTGTGACGGCGTTATGTAGGTGGGCGACACGTTTCTCGCGGCCGCGAGCATTTCATACTATGGCGCGTTCACCGGCAGTTTTCGGCAGAACATGGTCGACTGCTGGCGGGAAAAGGTAGAGGAACTGCAGATCCCGTGCTCGCAAGCCAAGTACTCTTTGGCCACGACCCTGGGCAGCCCCGTGGAGATACGCGAGTGGCAGCTGAACGGACTGCCCACTGACGGCAACTCGACGGACAACGCCATCTTGGCCACGCGGGGCGAGCGGTGGCCACTCATGATCGACCCCCAGGGGCAGGCGAACAAGTGGATCAAGAAGACGCAAGTGCCCGAAGTGACGAAAATGACCAACGCCAACCTGCTGCGGAGCTTGGAAAGCTGTATTCGGGTTCGTTTTGTATATATTTTTAGAGTAGATTTTAGTGATGTGGGGCTTAGAATGGCAAGTCGCTGCTGATCGAAGACATCGAAGAGAGCCTGGAGCCAGCGTTAGAGCCGATCTTGCAAAAGGCCGTGTTCAAGCAGGGCGGGCGCGTGCTGATTCACTTGGGGGACTCGGACGTGGACTACGACCCAGCGTTCAAGCTGTGGATCACCACAAAGTGTGCGAACCCTCATTACCTTCCCGAAGTGTACATTAAAGTAACCATCATCAACTTTACCGTGACCATGACGGGGCTCGAAGACCAGCTGCTCGGGGATGTGGTACTACTACGAGAAATATATCAATTGACTAGGTAGTAACCATGACGAGACGGTAGGTCAAGCACGAACGACCCGACATTGAAGAGAAAAAGAACCGGTTGGTGGTCACGATGGCCCAGGACAAGAAGCAACTCAAGGACATCGAAGACCGAATTCTGCAGAAACTGTCGGAAAGTTCTGGGAACGTTCTGGACGACGAAGGGCTGATTGACACGCTGGCGTCATCGAACGCCACGTCCAAAATCATCAAGGTCAGCCAGGATAAATCAAAACAGACGTTAACGACGTACGTACGTACAGGAACGAGTGCAAGAGGCCGAAGCCACCGAGTTGGAGATCAATCGCGCACGAGAAGAGTACCGCAGTGTCGCGACGCGAGGGTCCATTTTGTATTTCGTGGTCGCGCAATTGGCCACGATCGACCCCATGTACCAGTACTCGCTGCCGTTCTTCCAGCGTCTATTCAACATTTGTTTCGATGCAACCCCGACGTCTCCCGTACATTTCCATGGCATAGTACCCTTGCAAAATATTATGCCGTTAACGTCTGTTTTGAAAGGTGTTGTCCAAGCGGCTGGAGGCCCTGATTGACTTTCAAACGACATATATTTACACCAACATCTGCCGCGGGCTGTTTGAAGTGCACAAAGTGCTCTTTTCCGTACTCATTTGCTGCAAAATCATGCTCTACGATGGCCGCATCACCCCCCGCGAGTGGTCGCTCTTCTTACGAGGAGCTAGCTCTACCAAAAAAGTAATAGATGTATCCATATATATATATTGATCCCTGCTTTTTAATGTAACAGGGAGCGCCATCCAACCCACAGCCAGACAGTATCACAGACGCCCAGTGGCAGCTGGTGCTGGAGCTGGAAACGTTAGGTCCGCAGTGCGAGGGCCTCAGCACTTCGTTCCAACACGAGTGGAGTGCGTGGAATACGTGGCTGAAATCGCACGACCCGCCGCACCCCCACCTGTGTCCACAGTCGTATTCCAGTCGGATGACGTCGTTCCAGAACGTGCTTTTGATCAAGGGTACCCCCCCCCACGTTGACTGTGCTTTTTCCTTGACGTTTGTGTAGCGTTGGCGCAAGAAATGGTCCAGCGCGCGACGCTCAACATGCTCGGGGTAGAAATGTGCGCTGGCTTCGGCCAACTCGGCACTGTGAGCATGGAAGACATCTACAAGGACACGGACCGGAAGACGCCGTGCATTTTCGTACTAAGTGCGGGGGCCGACCCCACGGGGATGCTGCTTCGCTTCGCCAAAGATCGGCAGTTCAGTGACCGATTGCATTTGATTTCACTCGGCCAAGGCCAGGGCCCCCGTGCCGAAGCGCTGATTGAGGTGCATACATTGGGGGTTTCGGGGTTCCGGGGTTTCTAAAATCGACCTGTGTAGGTTTCCAAGACCAACGGCGACTGGGTGCTGCTGCAAAACTGCCACTTGGCCAAGTCATGGATGCCCGCGCTGGAGAAAAAGGTGGACGAACTGGCGACAGACGTGACGGTCGTCGATTCGTTCCGGCTGTTTCTGACGTCGTTCCCCGCCGCGTACTTTCCTGTGACGGTGCTCCAGAACGGCATCAAACTCACCAACGAACCGCCCAAGGGGATTCGCGCCAATCTGATTCGGTCGTTTGTGACCCTCATGAGCTCGGACAGTTCGTTCTTTGACATGTTTGAGTCCGGTACGTGATAACGTCATGTGACATGTCATCGTGACGCGCGCCCTTTTTCATGAGACAGGGGGCGAGTTTGAAGAGGGCGGCGTCGTCTTTTCCAAGCAAATGGTGTGGCGCAAGTTGCTCTGCAGCCTCGTGTTTTTTCATGCGATTATTCAAGAACGCCGCAAGTTTGGTAGGTTTCTCTGCTGTAGGGGGTATCTGATTCCAACCGTTCGATATGATGATACTGGGTCGTCCCCCATCTGATTCTGATTCGATGGGTAGGGCCGTTGGGGTGGAACATCAAGTACGAGTTCAACGACACGGACCTGGAAACGTCCTACGCGTGTCTCCGCAAGTTTCTCGCAGAACAGCCCATCGTACCGTGGGACGCCCTGCGATACGTCACGGGTACATTCTGAGTCTCCCCATCTGATTCTGATTCATGCCAGGCCAAATCAACTACGGCGGGCGCGTCACGGACGACTGGGACCGACGCTGTCTCACGAGCATCCTCAACGGGTTTTACACGCCCCAAGTGCTCACAGACAGCTACAAGTTCTCTGCATCTGGAACGTACAGCGCCGTCACGGCCAATGATTACGCCAGCGTCATGGCGTACTTTGAGTCGCTTCCGGTGCACGCAGCCCCCGAGATCTTTGGGATGCACGAAAACGCCAACGTCACATTTGAGCGCAACGAAAGCTGGCAAATGATCAACATCGTGCTCAGTCTCGAGCCTCGCGATGGTAATATGTCACACTCCACATGATGACGTGATATCAAGAACGATGACGTTATCGGATATGTCACGTACCGTTAGCGGGGGGCACGGGCGGCCAGAGCAACGACGAAAAGGTGCTGGAACTGGCCGCGTCGATCCAGGTCCAGCAGTGTTTCAATGCCTTGTTAAGCAGCACTGATACTTGAGGTTAGACGCAACTGCCCATGAATTTGCGGCTGGACGAGGCGGGGCCCACGACCTTTCGCACTCGTACGGTGCTGGGGACGGTCGTGATGGACTCGTTGGCAACGGTTCTGTCGCAAGAGTTGGTCAAATTCAACATTTTACTGTCGAAAATGCGCCAGAGTTTGATGGAAATCCAGCGCGCCATCCAAGGGCTGATCGTCATGTCGTCCGATCTGGACAACATGTACACGTCGTTTCTGAACGGCCGGGTGCCTGGGATCTGGGACGTGGTGAGCTTTGCATCGCTTAAAGCGCTGGGGCCGTGGGTCCAAGACCTGCTGAACCGTGTCGCATTCTTCCGGACGTGGCTGGTGCAGGGGGAGCCAGTGATCTTTCCCCTGCCTGCGTTCTTCTTTCCCCAGGTAACTACGTCATCACAGAGATGACGTTGCATCCGATCACGTCATCGTGTAGGGATTCATGACCGGGACGTTGCAAAACTTTGCTCGAAAGTATCAAACCGCCATCGACTGCCTCGGGTTTACATTTGCCGTGATGGAATGCCAGGCGGATTCGATAACGTCATCGCCGTCCGATGGCATCTACGTGGACGGACTGTGGCTGGAAGTATATATATATATTATATATGGTAGAACCTATGTTAAATGTATACATGACTAGGGGGCAAGGTGGAATGCCAAGGACAAGAGTCTGGAAGAAGCGCGACCAGGCGAAATGTTCAGTGTACGAGCTATATCGTGAATATGATTGGCTGATAGAGTTGCAATTTAGCCAATGAGCTTGGTGCATTTCCTGCCTGCTGCCAACATCGACCGCAACAAGGACGAGTACCCGTGCCCCGTGTACAAGACAAGCGTACGAAAGGGCACATTGAGCACCACGGGGATGTCCACCAACTTTGTCGTGGCCGTGTACCTTCCATCCACCAAGACACCAGACCATTGGGTGCTCAATGGCGCGGCGTTCCTGCTCAATTTGGACTAACTTATTGCATGCGTGGTCGAATCATCTGGGCTTTGATTGGCTATATATTGACCAATCAAATGAAAGAATTAAAACCGTTTCGAAGATCAAAAGTAGTGCATGCTATTGTATTGATCCTCTTTAGGTGAGAAATGGAGCTACTTCGAGGCAGAATCGGTCGACGGGGAAACCGATGACGCTGTTCGGACACCCGTCCACGGCCGACACGAACGCTTTGGCGCGGCCTTGGAGGCCGTATGACCCGGCTTTGTCCATGGGCTCTCCAGTTGCAATGTAGTCTATTCAGCATACATCAACATGAACATGGGATGGAAGGTACCTCGAATGGTAGTCGCATCCAACGGAATGAACTGGACAGTCGTGCGTTCGCAAAACACATGCACGACGTTCGACGGGGAAAAGCACAGGGCTACGCCAGAGAATACGTCGTGCTTGGCGTTCGACAGCGACGTCAACATGGAGAACGCATCCTCCTCGTCCTAATGATATTCGCCCGATCATCGCATGGTGGAGATGAATGGACTGACGCTACCTTGGGTTTCTCAAGAATCCTGCCTTCATGCGAAACCACGGTATCGCATCCAATGACGAGGTCCACGGTCGTTCCCTGGGCCGTGAGTCGTTGCAGCACTTCCAACGCCTTTTGCTTGGCGTTCTCGATCACATAATGCTCCTAGACGTCTCACACTATTGTCATTCTCGCATGCTTCCAACATGTACAACCTTACAGGAGTCGGAAACTGCCGCTTGTCCAGGTTCTCTTCAAAGGTCGACGGCACTACGTCGAAGTGTAAGCCCTACAGGAGCACACGCGCATCAGTGACCGTGTCGAGAGTGGCCATCATGCTGGGATGAAGCACGGTACCAGGTTCGTCAGCAGCTCCAAGCGACGAGGGCTCTAGAGCATCATCGCATGAGGAAGCATACGCCTACACGGAGCAGCTCCATCTACCTGGGACGCCAAGACTACTCGCCACGCATGCAGCCGTTGGAGTGCTGGTGGCAACATGTTTGCCGTCCCCACGATTCCTAAATACCGGGTATTTGGCATGGCCAAATACCCGATCGGACGGCGCGAATATCCTGTATTTGAATTTTTGAACATAAAACCCAATCCTATTTCGGTTTAACCAATGTGTTAAATCGCGTTTAAGTTTTGTGTTCGGTATAAAACGTACGTTAAAACGTATTTCGGATATCAAGCGCGGGATCCGAATAGCCCTGCGCGCGAACGAAAGCGCGTGGCTCACTTTCGTATTTGAGCACTTCCGACGACGAGTATGATGATGCAGCCCCTGCTCAAGACATCGCTCCAGAAGCACGGAGACCTGGCCAAGGCCGTCGAGAAGCTGCGCATGGAAGCCAAGATGACCTCCGAGTACTCAAGCAGCAGCAATAGCGGCGGCTTGCGGCGGTCTCTCAAGGAAGTCGGCCTGACCCCTCGATTCCGATCCAACGACTATGTCAAAGTGTATCGAGGCCACTCTCTGCGGAAGGCTCGCGTCGTGCATGTGACCGCGACTGAGTATTTTGTCCATTACCAAGGACTCCCCTCCGACATGGACGAGTATGTACCGCATTATCGGGTAATCGAAGACCGAGAGATGAAGGCGTCCACATCGACCGCCAACGCTGCTCGAGATGACGAACTTGAGCAACTCCGACAGGAGAATCGACGACTCAAGGAAGATCTACAGAAATCCCAGGAACGCATCAAGCGCGCCGAAGACGACATGGCAGAAGAGTGGAGGAAGGAGTGCTCGGTGCTGCAAGCCAAGTGCTTGCTCGTGAGCGACCACTGTCGAGAAGCCGTAACGCGCGTGTACAACGTCCTGGAAGAGAAGCAGCGCATGCTCGACAGTTGGAACTGCGTGATTTGCACCACGACCGCCGTGGACTCCGCCTTTGTCCCTTGCGGTCACATGTTCTGCACGGGTTGCAGCTCCCAATGCAAGACGTGTCCAATCTGCCGACAGGAATTTATCATGCGACTGCCGCTCTACAAACCATAGCACTCAAAGTATGTATTAATATCGTTCATAACGTTACTATTTTTTTATTAGTCCAACTAACATTTTTGTGCCTCTCTGATTGGTTGAATATATTCTCCATGTCCGGATCTGATTGGCTCTCCAACACAACTGCACGCTTATTGGCTAAAAACGATTGATTATTCCGTCTTCTTGGCACTCTTCAACTTGCGCACAGGGACGAGGTGGAAAAGCACGTAGAGCACGGCAAGGATGATGTGTCCCGAGAACTTGAGGTTCGAGAGCGCTTGGAGGGAGTTCTCCCAGCTGAGTGCTTGGAACGGGATCACGAGGTAGTGCAGGGCCAGCACGGACGCCAGCCCTCCGACGACATCGTACACGGCCTTGAACGGGCCGGCCGTCTTGCCATCCTCCTGGAGGAACCACGGACGCACGCGTTTGAAGGCGAGGCGGCCGACGTTCGTCGCCATCGGGACGCTCATGAAGAAGATGTAGTACCCGGGGTAGAACCCGTGCCAGAACGCCGACACGAAGTACGTCGCCGTGAGAGAGTTGTTGGTGCGCGAGTACACGTATCGCTCGAGCCAGTTCTGCGTGCCCTTGTTCCAAGCGCGGGACGCGTCGCGCAGGGACAGCGGCAGCTCAAAGCCGAGCACATCCATGTTGCTCACGAGGTTCCATCCCTTCGAGCCACCCTTAGCGTCGACGCCTTCGAAGCCGAAGCCGCAGAGCACCGTCGCGCCTTCCGCGATCTTCCACGCCGAGTAGTACTTGGACTTGACGAAGAAGAGAGTGATGTACAACGTCGCCACGTGCTGGTACCACGGGAGGTCGCCGGATTCCTTGGAGTAGAGCAACGTGATGGGGTACTTGCCTCCAAACACGACCATGAGCACCATGAAGAAGACACCCACGAGCAGCTTTGAGATGGCCGCCAAGGTGCATCCAGGACCGAGCTTCTTGACGCCGTTCACCACGTCCAAGTACTCGCGGATCTCGAACGCCGGACCGGCGAGGAATGTCGGGAAGCAGTACACGTACGCAAAGAACTCGAGAAGGGACGGCAGCTGCGGGATGCTGAGGGACTTGCGGGAAGCATACACGCTGGCAAGGGCCTTGTTGTCCGTGGGAGTGTTAAGTCGCTTGATGTCCACGACGCCGTCAAAGTAGTTGTAAGCAAACGCAGTTAACTTGATCACGAGCAGCATCTGTGGACCCGTGATGTCCAAGCTCCAGCCCATGTAATCCACATACAGACGGTACAAGTGCGACGCAGAAATGTACAGCATATTCCACACAAACACGAGACGAGGAGCGTACTTGGCGGGCGCGAGCACCACCAGGAGATACGTGGACAGCGCCATGATGAGCGTGTGTACCCACGACGCGCCAAACACAAACTGCGCGAGGGAAACACCCACGCCGAGCGAGAACAGGTGCTTCAACGTCGCGGAGGGGAGCAGCGAGAACACCAGCGCGAACGGGTACGCGCCGAAGAGACAGCTGACGTACCGCACTTGGTCCAAGGGCAGTCCCGCAGCGTCGGCGACGGTGGCCAAGTACGCGTTCGCCGCCTCGAACTTGAGGGGTGTGAGCAATTCCGCGTAGACACTAAGGTCTTGCAGAATGGGCTGGATCACCGCCATGCCCTGGTCAACGCCCTCCACGACGGAACTCACGATTCCTTCCATCATAATGCGGCGACAACGAAATATGCGAAGTGGGGTCAAGAAGTCCCCACCGAAGTTTTATTATGTGCGACAAAGCCGCGCCATTCCTTCGTGATTATCATTCGTACTTAAGCGAATATATTCCTCTATTTGACAACATTTTGCACATTGAAGTCCATAACGTAACGTTCAATGCACACATTGGTTTAAATCTCTACAGCTGTACGTATGTGTTGCAAGGTTATCCAATTGTATTGCAACTCTGTCGTATCCATCGCTCATTGTTCTGCTGGCATGATGCTTTATACTCGTTGTCGAAATCATATCGACATCGTATGCCCCTTGGTGTTTGGGGTTTCCAATTTTTGATCCTTCAAATATACTTGAATAAGGTAATCTAAGCGTACTTTAAAGGGTGAATCGACGCTGTCATTGTGTTGAAGCTATTGCATCATCAGATTTGGACCAATCGTATTGCAGTATCTCGACATCACAAGAATCTAACGACCAAAACTCGTGTTGCATTGCTCCAACTCACCATGATGGAGCAAGTGGTGGGAGCTGTGGATGCAGTGGCCGTGGCGCTGTGCCCTTTTGGCTTTGAGTACCTTCACAGCCAAGTGGCAGTTCTGTCTGAGAGTGTCGGGTTTGCCCCAGACCAACTGCGTTACTGCTTGTCGCTGTTTGCCGCGTATCCGCTGGCGTTGGTCTTTCGGCTGTTGCCCGTTGGCTTGAAGCACTGGTTCTCGTTTGTCGTGGGAGTACTCATGGCCCAATTCGTGCTGGGCTCGCAATGGATCCACTCGCTCATCACATCCACAGTCACATACGCCATCGTCGCCGCCGCGCCTTCCGCGTACTCGCCTCAGCTTGTGTTTGCCTTCAACATGTCGTACATGTCGGCCTCCCATTTGTACCGCATTTACGTCGACTACCTTGGCTGGAGCCTCGACTTTACTGGCCCTCAGATGCTCCTGGTGATCAAACTCACGTCGTTTGCATACAACTGCTACGACGGCACCGATGCCAAGCTGACCACCAACCCCACCAACTCTGTAAGCCAAAGCGCTTATCTACTATCTATAAACTCACTCGATCTGTAGCAACTAGCTAAGGTGTACGCCAGTCGCCGCAGCTTGGCCATCTCCGCGTTGCCGTCGCTCGTTGAATTCTACGGCTACGCGTACTGCTTTACCACGTTTTTGGCCGGCCCAGCGTTCGAGTACCGGGAATACATTGACGCCGTCACGTGTCGCCACTTCAAACCCTCGGCGATGACCACAACTTCTTGTTTTGTCAGTGCCTTGTCCAAACTCGTGCTCGGCCTCGGTTGTATGGCGGCCATGGCGACTTTTGGCAGCTCGTTCAACCTGCACACGACATTGCACGCGACCTTTCCCACCGTGTTCCACCAATGGGGAGCCATTTACATTGCTCTGCTGGTCACTCGATGCAAGTACTACTTTGCATGGAAGGTAACCAACCACTTATACATGCATTCGTACGAGTTTCAGCTTAGATGTGGTGATATATCTACTACTAGGTGGCTGAAGGCAGTACCGTGCTGAGTGGGTTTGGCTTTGAAGGGTTCACCAAGGACGGCCATGTCAAGGGCTGGAATGCCGTGTCGAATGTGGACATTTTGGGCTTTGAGTTTGGCCAGAGCATTCGTGACTTGTCTCGGGCGTGGAACAAAGGCACTCAGGCGTGGCTCCAGCGCTACGTGTACGAGCGAATGGGCAACTCCCTGCTCGCCACGTACTTTGTCTCTGCGATCTGGCACGGGTTTTACCCTGGCTACTACCTCTTCTTCCTCTCGGGTACACTAACTACATACTCGTTCAGGCACTATATATATATACTAACTAACCTGGGGACAGTGCCGTTGCCCACGGCAGTGAACCGGCTCGCCCGCAGCGTCCTAAGGCCGTACGTGCTCGAAAGCAAGACGAACAAGACGCTGTACGACATCGTGGGCACTTTGGCGACCGCGCTGACCATCAACTACTTGGCGGTGGCGTTTGTATCTCTGTCGTGGGAAGAGTCTGTGTTTGGCTGGAAATCGCTGGCTTTTGTGGGCCACGTTGGGCTCGTGGCTGCCTACATCGCGCTGAGTGTCCTGCCGCGCAAAAAGGTGGCCAAAGCTGCATAGAATCTCCATGTAAACATAGCCACAAATCATAGACAAACTCCGTCGATATCCATCCATATTGAAGTTCATGGACACGTCATATGATTTGCTCCAGCCAATCAAACGTCCACAATGTGTCCCTTCGTGCCCCTCGTTATCCGGATCATCGACGTCATCACCGTCGTATTCGAATGATTCGCGCTTGTCTCATGTATTGAAGAACGTCAGTACAATCTGATTGGCTATAATGACGAATCTATCTACCAATCAAACGACAATTGAACTGTACCATCGCATCCACCGACAAGTCCCTTGTCATTTAGGTCTAATCAATATGAGGACAAGCCAATAAAGATGGAAAGGTCGACTACGTTCATGATTGCACGTGCTTGGGCCACATACGAACCCCCTTGTTCGACGACATGACATCACCGATGTGCACACATTGCATGACATCATCGGTGAAGCCTGCGTTCTGATTGGTCCATTGTCCATATGACCCCTATTCCCCATTTCACCTCTCCACCAATCAAATACGTTGACGACATCAATGCTGATTGAGGCGCCATTCAGGAATTTGCCAGCTCAAGCTCACGTCGATCATCATGCCGACGTTGTTGGAACAGTACCCCGCGCTCTCTGTGATCTACCCATTCGAGTGGGAGAACAAGTACGAGTTCACGTGGGAAAATGAGTTCTGCAAGGACACCATGACCCACATCATTGCACTCTGTGCCGTGTACTGCGTGCTGTGTCTCGGCGGCCGCGAAGTCATGAAAAAGTTCTCTCCGTTCGGGCTCACGTCCGCCCTCGCCTTGTGGAACTTGGGCTTGGCGGTGTTCAGTACCATCGGCAGCATCCGCACCGTTCCTTTCCTCCTCAACTCCCTCTTCACCCGGGGTGTGTACCACAACGTGTGCTCGGAAGCGTTCCCTCACTACGGCCGCGGTCCCGTCGGTCTGTGGGTCACGCTGTTCATTTTCTCCAAGATCCCCGAGTTGGTCGACACCATGTTCATCGTGCTCCGAAAGAAGCCGCTCATCTTTCTCCACTGGTACCACCACATCACCGTGTTGATGTTCTGCTGGCACGCGTACGCCAACCTGTCGCCAATGGGTCTGTTCTTTGTCGCGATGAACTACACCGTGCACGCTGTCATGTACTTCTACTACTTTCTCGCCGCCATCGGCATCCGCGCGCCGTGGGCCAAGTTTGTCACGGTGATCCAGCTCACGCAGATGGTGGTGGGCGTGGCCGTGTCCGTGGCGGGCGTGTACTACATCCGCAGCGGCGCCCCTTGCTTGCTGGACCGGGAGAACCTCAAGTGGGCCATCATCATGTACTCGTCGTACTTTGCGCTCTTCCTCAAGTTTTTCATCGAACGATACTTCCTCAAGAAGACCACCACTCCCGTGGCCAAAAAGACCGTCTAAAATATCCATTTTTACTTTTAACTTCAACTTGCACTTCAAACCCCACCCCCCAACGGGGTATATGATTGGTCCACAAACTAACGTTTCGGGGTTTCGGGGTTTCTTGTTTGCCAATTGATCGTGCACTTGAAAGAGACTTTGTTGTATATACTAGTAACGGGGTTTCGGGGTTACTATTACTAGTAGAATACTAACAGTACAGTAGTAGAATGCAGGATTTCAATTCTGAAAAGTGCTGCATGAAACCAAAAGGGTGGGCATTCTTCTGATTACTACGTAGTAACGTTAGTACGTAGTATTTAATTGGCTTGAACAGACTTCAGCTTACTGTTAGCGTTCATTTACATGTGTACTTCGATTTCCACTCAAGGTAAAAGACGACGGACGGTTTAAGCTTAACATATGTATATTGTTTTTGCTTCTTTGGTGGTGATTTCTAACGTAAGTGATTGGATTGGCTATTCGAAAAATAAAGCAATTCCATTGGCCAATTTAAATCTTAAATCACCATAAACCAACTGGCCATCTATATGTTGGGCAAATACTACTCTGTCCCAAATTACCTCCACGTTTCACCTCAAGTTTAGCCGCAAAAGCATTTTTATTACGAATATTTATTTAAATTTCTCCTAAATCAGACTGGTGATCTTTGTATAGCGTGAACTGCCTCTTGTTAACAAGCAAGTGGTCGAGCCAATTTTCCCAACCTTCTTACATGAGCATTGTCGAAATAGAGGATGAGGACAGTGGCAGGGATGTCTGCCTGACTCGAGTAGAACCCAAGCGACGAGTACTCATATAAGATAATTAGATTATAGCGTTTACATTACCTCTGTATATGAATATTGTTACCCATTTGACCATACATTAATCAAGTCCGGCGAGTGATTTTAATTCTGCCCTGAGGAGCAATATTATTTTGATGATATCCAACAAATCTGTAATATAAATATGAGCAAGCAAAACACCGAATTCCCAGCTTCTCATTGGTACAAATTTTGTAGAAATTGGGTAAATGAGTCAAATTTTGAGGTGCGTCGAAGTTGAAACGTGGAGGTAATTTGGGCAAATACTAGTGTATACTACTATTAATATACTCGTATGTAACTTATTTAAGGTTACAAAACCCCTTCCTACAGCTCGTCCTTCACGTCCACTTTCTCTGCACCCTTGGGTAGTTCTTTGTCTTGAGCCTTGGGTTGTTGGTCAGCACCTTTCTCGTCGACACGTTCGTCAGTCGCTAGCTCCACCACGTCTTCATCTTCCACAGCGTCGTCTTCTTCCGCGGGCAGGTTGATCTCTGGGTCCAGGTCGAGCGAGTCGAGACCCATGGTCGTCTTCATGAGACGGTACACCCGCGATGCAAAGTGGTCGACGTCGTCCATGGCAAACCCAGAGTTGGTCAGTGCGGCGTCGTACAGCAGCCACGACAGATCGTGCGTCTCGGTGGCGTCCGGCGCGGTCGCAAACAGGTCTCGGAGCTTGCCCACAATCGGGTGGCGCGGGTTCAGCTCCATGATCTTCTGGGCCGCGGGGTTCTGCGCCGCCGGGTTGGCGAACGTCTGCGCCTTGATGATTCGCTCCATGTTGGCCGAGTGGCCCCACTGAGACGTGACCATGACGGCGGGCGAGTCGACGGCCGTGGCCTTGGAGATGGTCACTTTGCTCACCTTGTTCCCGTAGACCTTCTTCAGACCCGAGAGGACGCCGTCGTACTGGTCCGCGTACAGCTTGCGCTTGCGTTCGATCAGTTTCTCGTCTTCGTCTCCAAACTTGAGCCCTTCCTTGGTGATACTCTGCATCTTCTTGCCGTCAAAGTCGGGGATATGCTGCATCACGTACTCGTCGAGGGGGTCCACCAGGTACAGCACTTCCACTCCCTTGGCTTTGCATGTCTCGAGGAACGGACTCTTCTCGACGGCGTCGACGCTCTCGCCCGCGATGTAGTAGATCGTGTCCTGCCACGGGTGCATCCGCGCCACGTAATGGTTCAAACTGATATACTTGTCGCTCGACTTGGTGGATTTGAACCGAAGCAGCTTGAGCAATTTGCCCTTGTTCGCTGGGTCGTCCATGATGCCGATCTTGACGTTCTTGCCGTAGTTCTCCCAGAACGTCAAGTACGACGAGCTGTCCGCCTTGGCCTTGTCCTTGGCCTGCTCGTCCACCTCCACGACATCGTCGTCGTCGTCGTCGTCGCCGTGGCCGTCGTCGCTCTCGCTTAGCTTGCGCAGCATCTCGAGCACCTTGCGCACGAGCTTCTTGCGCATGACCCGCAGAATCTTGTTCTCTTGGAGCGTTTCGCGGCTCACGTTGATGGGCAGGTCGTCCGAGTCGACGACGCCCACGATGAAGTTCAAGTACTTGGGCAAAAACTCTTCAAACTGGTCCGAGATGAGCACCTTGCGCACGTACAGCTTGACGTCGGCGCGCTTGTGGTCAAACTTGTGATACATGTCGTGGGGCGCCTTGGATGGGATGTACAGGATGCTCTTGAACTCGATCTCGCCCTCGGCCACAAAGTGGATCCACGTGAGCGGGTCCGTGCTGTCCTTGTGGATCGCCTGGAAGAAGTGGTTGTACTCGGCATCTTCCACCTCTTCCCGCGGCCGCGTCCAGATGGCCTTGATCTCGTTCACGCGCTGCCACTCCCACACGGTCTTCTTCTCCGTCTTTTTTTCCACGGGGGCCGCACTGTCTTCCTCGACAGCCTCCAGCTCTTCGTCGTCGTCGTCGTCTCCCGACGTCGCAACTTCACCTTCTTCTTCTTCGCCTTCTTCTTCGTCCTCATCGCCCGCATCGTCGTCGACTTCGACGGTTTCTTCGCGCGACGTGTGCAGGTAAATGGGAAAGTTGATAAACTCGCTGTAATGGGACACCAGTTGCTTGAGCTTGGCCTGGTCCTGGAATTCGAGCGCGTCCTTCTTGAGGAACAGCGTGATTTCGGTCCCGCGCTTCAACGTGTTTCCGCGGGGATCCTTGGACACGGTGAAGCTCGCGTTCGCGCTCGATTCCCAGATGTACTGGTCGTCGTCGTTGTTCTTGGACACCACGCGCACCTTGTCGGCCACGAGGTACACAGAGTAGAACCCGACCCCGAACTGGCCGATCATGTTGGCGTCGGCGCCGTTCTGCATCGCAGACACAAAGTTGGCCGTGCCTGACTTGGCCACGGTCCCCAAGTTCTTGACCAAGTCGTCTTTAGTCATGCCCACACCCGTGTCCTTGATCGTCAGTGTGTGCGCGGTCTTGTCGAACGAAATGCGAATCTCAAGCTCCTTGAGAACGTCCAGCAAGCTGCTGTCGGACAGCGCGAGGAACCGAAGCTTGTCCAAAGCATCCGACGCATTTGAAATGAGTTCGCGGAGGAAGATTTCCTTGCTCTTGTACAGCGAGTTGATGATGATGTCCATCAGGCGACTCACTTCCGCTTGGAACTGGAACTTGTCGCCGTTCAAAAGCGCGCCATCCAGCTGGTCGACCACTTTGCCGCTACCCGCAATATCCGCAGCGGCAATGTCCACACTCGCACCGGCATGGTTGTTCACGCCGATCGCGGCCAACACCGATGCCACAAGGAACGCCTTCTTCCACGCCGAACCAAAGATCTTCATCGGATGATGATTTGCTTGCAAAATTGAAAATGGCATGAAAACTGACTCTCGGATAAAAATATCGAAACTTCGTCAGGAATAAAACGTAGATCGCACTATCCGGATACTTTCAAAAAACACGTTAGTGTTATACTGCCTTCCAAAATGTTAAGTACATCCTACATCCGGACAACGTTACCCGGAGGTCTGCGTGGAATATGTACTGACTGTACAGTATAACATTCAGGAGTACTCATATTTTGACATTGATTTCTCATTCACATCGTACCTCGTCCTTCATCTCGTTAAACCCCCGTGCTTCAAGCTATGTATTTCTAGACGAGAGTAAGGAGTTGAACGTTGATGACCTTTCTATTTAAACGTATAGGTTAAATGGTATCTTTATCCGGAAGCGAAATTTCTGGAATCCGCTGAGATCGGTCGAAATGGAAGGGCGGCGGCTTGCCGCGTGTCTGCTCCGACAACGTGCATGGAAATGGAACTACAGTTGAGGGAACCTGTGCATGCGTAGCAGATAGGGAGCAAGAGAGACAGACCATGCTCCTTTTCAGCGCTGACGTGGTGAATACCATGTAGTGATGACCTAAACAATGTCGCCACCTGATTAGCTCATTTTGGCACTTTTGAATTAGCTCAATTAGTAGCATGCGGGTATTGCCTTGGATAGCTGCGGCGTTCTTCCTGACTGGCGTCGCAGATGCGTGGGTGAAGCGGTAACCTTCGTGACATACCATGCAATGCATCTCATTACGTTGTAGTCGGTGGGACCACTCGCGGTCGTTCAAGAAGCTAGGGCTCACCGACCTCACGTGTCCAACATCCCATGTCGCCAACACAGACGATACGGCCGTGACCACTCCGCCCTCTCTGCCTGCGTCGTGCTGTCTGTGTCAAACCTTCATGCAACGTATCGAGACGAACTTGAACGCGACCGAGAACGATCACGAGATGGACGTGGTGTTCCGCATCAGCGAAGAGAAGAAGACAATTCCGTACTCCCGCAGCGAAGGCCGCATTCTTGAAGTCCTCGAGTCTGTCTGCAAGGACGTGTCGCTGCCCGACCCACACACATCGCCCAAGGTCAAAGTGGCCGTCAAGAACGCGGTAACGTTACCTCCATTCGGATTCCTTATCCACATGTGACGCCCGTTGTAGTGCCAAGGCTTCGTGGACGAGTTCGCGGACGACCTCATCGGTCTCTACTACAACAACCTCGCCCCCCAGCAAACTGCCATGTGCGTCGACCGCCTGCAGCTGTGCGCTTCCCAACTCAACGACGAGCTTTAACATGGCTAAGATCAAGTCAAATAATTAGCTTTTCAGTCAAATATTCAGCTTTTCTCCAATTTATCAGTTTTTCATGTATTTTGACCAATCTATTTTGACCTGCAATATCCAACTTCGACAGTTTCATTATTACGGCGGGGTGACCGCGACGAGCTTGATGACGCCTTGTCTGTCCTTGTTCTTGTCGTTGGAAGGCGCGTCGCCGAGGTACGCGAGCACATGCTTGGACGGATGCCACGCCATCTGCTGGGGAGGTTCCTGCAGCGCGATGGAGAAGGCCGGCCGGCCGGTGGCGACCTCCACGATGGGAATCACGAGATCGTCGCTGCCGGACGCGAGGAAGGCGGCGTCGTGGGAGAACTTGACGAAGCGGATGCGCGACTGGGATGTCACGAGTGTCTGCATGCAGTACACTTCGTCCAGGTCCCACAGACTCACGAGGGAGTCGACGCCTCCCAGCGCCAGCATCCGTCCGTTCCTGGCCAGGTCGATGGCGAAGCAACTGCCAGAGTGGGCGGCATGGACCTTGTGCACGTTCTCCAGGGTTGGAGGAAGCTTGCGGTCGGCCGCATCCGGCACGATTTGAAGCACTTCCAGCGTGCCATACCCCGCCGAGTGTCCTAACAATCAGGATATGACGAGGATGGAAGGAAACCTGTACAGACCTGCGGCTGCGAAGAGAAAGCCCGATTCACTGAACAACATATCTTGGAATTCGTACGGAGTCGGCATGCGTGTGACCACCTTGTGCTTCCGGGTGTCGATGAGGCTATGTATGATGCAATGATGACATGAGGAATGGAGGATGTACATACCTGATGGAACCAGTGTCCCGAGTAGATCCCGTACAGAGCGCTGCAATGTACTTTCCGTCGTGGGAGTAAGCAACGTTCATGACCGCAGACGACAAGGCGATCGACGACGTGGACTTGGCGCTCTTGGCATCCCACAATCGAACGTTCTTGTCGTTCCCCGCTGTCGCGAGGTGGTGTTTACTGGTTGGGTTCCACATAAGTTGGTTGATGGAGTCGCTGTGTCCTTGCATCTCGGTGTAGCCATGCCCCGCAGGGTCCCACAAACGGACGGTCCGATCTGTGCTGCCCGACGCGAGGGTCGACCCGTCCAAGTTCCATCCCAGGGCATAGCTCTTCTTTGGATGCCCCGACAGCTCCGGAAGCGCGTTCAACACCCCGCATGTCGACGGAAGCAGACTTTGCAGCGGCGCACTGACCTTGGACGGCGGCGATGCGATCGGGACCTCGGAATCCATGTTAATGCGTCAAAATGAACGGCGTGTTGAATTCAAAAGCCAATCAAATCCTACCAAAATCAAAATACACCGTAAAGTGCGTGTGGCGATTATATATTTTGAAGAAAATAATATTAATAACAATATAAATAACTGTTATCGCATATTGAAATATAGTTATAACAAATCAAGCATTTGAACAGTTCGAAATATTCCAAGTCGGCGGCGGACTTGATGGAGCGCGAGAAGTATGGGAACGTGATGGGAGGGAAGCTGTCTTTGAAGGGCATGCCGCTCTCGAAGAAGTCCAAGAAGAAACGAAAGCGGGAGCATGCAGAAGAGACCGAGGAGAAGGGCGACGTGGCGAAGAAGCAGGAGACCGAGGTACTCGTGCCCATCGCTGCCATGACCCCTGCGCAAAAGAAGCATCAAAAGTTCAAAGCCAAGCGGGTACGTCCTTGCAACCAACGTATCGCATGAAGGATGATGATTCTTTCATTCGTGGAGTAGGAAGAAGAGGACATCAAGAAGCAAGCGTCCAAGACATACCGCGAGCGCGTAGACGAGTACAGCCAGTACCTTGGGAATCTGTCGGAACATCACGACGTGCCTCGCGTGTCGGCGGCCGGGAATGGTTAAGATACCATCAATATATGCACAATGTATCATTCAACGAGTCTTGTGCATGGGGATGTCGTTGCGCAACAAGCTGGTTTCTACCTACTGCTGCATGCACGGGAGTATTTCTCTCTTCAAGGGAGCTATGTACATGCGTGATTCAAAGCAGCGTCGGCATATTCCTCCATGGAACTCTGCAGTAGATGTCATTTCCGGGGTTTCGGGGTTTAACGTTGTTCCAATAAGAGAATATATGAGCTCTGATTGGTCTAAATATTTCTTTTTAAGCCAATCAAAGACATTGGGCTCGATTTGGCGAGGAAACGGCATCGAGCAAGCAGTTGCGACGAACCCGCCGAAGCCGTCGTGCGGCATGCGCTGCAGAGTGCCGTGAACGCCATTGCCGCAGAGGTATTCAACCTCCACGGATGCCTCCTTGTTCTGACGAGGATGGACGTGTAGAACTCTGTGGACTTGACCACGTTGACGTTTCGCGTCCGGCGGCTCCACGAACATGTTCCATCGACGGCATTACTTGGCACAACCGCGTACTCGAGCGACATCCCTCTCCGACTGTACCACTCCAAACGCCTAGATCATCTGTCGGACCTTCATGCGACGGCCACGCTGCTGCTTGGTCACCTCGTCCACCAAAGTGATGCCATCGTCCAAGTCGATAGCGCAGAGAACTCGTCCCGCCTTGTGCTGTATACGCGTCCAGCTCCTCCTCCCGCAGAGGTGCTGGATGTGACACTTCCTCTGGAGGTTCTCCACCAAGACGACGCGATCATCGTCGTCGTCAAGCCCCACGACCTCCCCAGCGTCGACGGCCGCGACCGCCCCACATCGCTCCATCGCATCCTTCGGTCCAAGTACCCCAACGTACGTCCATCTGTTGAAGATGATACTAAGTTGGACATGTGTAGGTTCGCATGGTGCATCGTCTGGACATGGAGACGTCGGGGGTGATGGTGGTGGCGCGCACATTGTCGGCGGCGCAGAGTCTGAATGCGCAATTCCGAGCCAAAACCATCGGCAAAACGTACACGGCGGTGGTGGAAGGCCTCTTGTCCTGCGATAGTTGCGTCATAAGTGCATCTTTGGCCGCCGACCCGACGCACAGAGTCAAGCAAGTTGTGGACGAACGACGTGGGAAACCCAGTGAGACCCTGTGCACGTTGCTGCTGCGACACTTGGACAAGGGACACTCGAGGGTACACCTGACCCCCGTCACAGGCCGAACGCACCAGCTGCGGGTGCACATGCAGAGTGTTGGTCACGCCATCGTCGGCGATTCGCTGTATGCCAGTCAAGAGTGTACGTCGTCGCGGCTGTGTCTGCACGCCACGACCCTGAAGCTCGTCCGCCCCACGACCAACATTCCCATGACCTTTTCTTCCAATCCTCCGTTTTAACGTGTCCACGCTCTCGTTATAAGAACCTCTGCAGCTTATTACTACCGGTAGTAGTGTAGGAATAGGAATTTAGGAGCTAATGTTAACGTAAGAGTATTTACGGTTAAGGTGGTTAAGGTGTTTAAGGTGCACTCGAAGAAATAATATAACTCCCGCATACAGTTATTAATAGTACTCGTAGGCCTGATGAGTTTTGGGAAACAATGCCTGCATTTCTAGCCTAGTTTAGGTGTCTGGGACACATACACCTTGCGGTCGGTCGTGGTGAGGCGCCGCGTGGCCTGGATCCCATGGACAGCGTTTTGCAATGCTTTGAGCTGCGTCAGTTTACTCATAGCCCCCACTGCCTTGTCCTTCAACGCCATTGCCATCAGACGACTAAACTCGAGGCTGAACACGCAGTTGGCTGCAATCACCATCGCCTAATACCCACCCTCGTTACAAGAACACAATAATCCAATCCTCTAGTAAAGTAGTAGACTTGCATACCCCAAAGAGTACGCGGGACACCCCCACGACTTCGACCTGGTATAAGAACAATGCACAGAACATCGTAAACAGCGACGTCACTAGGGCCATTTGCTCGAGGCGATTCACGCGCTTGTCTTCATAGGGCTGGCAGTCCATGTGCACATATAACCCAAGAAAGACCAGGACGGTGGCGGCTAGAGCCTGGGGCCCCGTGCCCTGGGGTTTTAAAAACACTGCGATAAAGCACACCAGGATCTTGCGCGTCATAACCCTAATAATTCATGAGGGTAAGTTCCTACTGGATGGATATGACATCAAAGTACGCACCAGATTTCCCAGTAAAAGTACTCCCGTCGGAACCCAATGTAGAGAAACCCATACTCGAGTTTGGTGCTGAGGTCGTCGAGGTTATGCCGGCAGCTGTAGACAACGTACAAGGCAAACACGGGGATGCCCAATGTAAACCCGATGAGTGCTGGAATGCCCACGCAGTACATCCACCGAAAATGCGATGCTGTATAACACTTGACGTCCAGGTCTGGATTCAGAAAGTAGAGGGGGGCGCCGGTCTCGTCTGAGCCTAGTTGAGTGCAGGCAAACATTTGAAACAAGTGGTTGGTCAGGCTCGGGTGGATGAGGAACATGATCACGATGACGCTGACGACGAGTTTGGCTCGGGTTTCCATCTTGATGGCGGCCAAATAGGCGGCTTTGACACTGGCTACAGGAGCTGGCGTTTGCTGGACAAACGAGTGAACGACCACAAGCACCAGATCACTCGGCTTTTCCCCCACGCTTTCAAACAACTTGTCCACAGATTCAATCGACACCAGGTCCAGGGTTCCTATGGTTATGTCAATATATCAATATATATATATATATATATACCTGGCTGTACCGCCGTGACCCAGTCCTTGGCGTGGTGGCGCCGTCGAATAGCTCGGTATCGAGTCGTCCAGTAGATCGCGGGGAAGACCACGCCACACACTGGCAGACACAAATACAGGACCAGCTGCGTGTAATACGCGCTCAAGCTGGCCACATACGACACATCTTGGGTGTAGTAGTCCAGCAGACATGCCATCGAGATGAGCTTGTCGCCAGGACTCGCCACGGCGCCCTGCACGCGAAACATGGCGAGAACTTCCTTGGGCCAGTCCACGTTGAACGACTCGGCCAGGATGATCAGCTGCAGGTACGACGTGAAGATCTTGGTCAAGATGGACGTCAGATTGGACTTCTTCTTGGCCTTGTTGATCGCCATGCGGATGAGCACGACCACAATCACCACCACGGCAAAGACCCCCCCAATTAACACCAAGATCGTCAGGGTGTAATTGGCCGGACATGCCACACATGCACTCTTGCCACTGCGAGTGAACCCCCGGGCGCACTGCAGACACAAGTTGCCAGTGTACCCGTCACTGCATACTTGGTCTGCCGGCCAGAAGATGTTGACACTGCCTTCCGTCGGCAGCTCGTCGTCGCCAGTCACGTACACTTGGTCGTTGGCAGTGCCCACAACGGTGACCACCTTGCCGACCACGAACAGCTGATCGGCCACGGAATAGCTGGCGGATGCGTCTTCCCCTGAGCTCAAACTCAGTACCATCGAGTTGTTTGGGCCGTCTAGCCGGACCGTGGCGGTGTGGGCGGCTGCGACATACCCCCCACAACTCGAGCCGAGGCAGACGTTGAGCTTGCAGTTGTCGTACGGGAGGTCCAAATTGGGACAAACTCCCGTGGAATTGGCAAAACGCCAGTACCCCTCCAATGCAATCACAGAGTCCCCGCCCCCGCAGACGGCGCCAGTGGGACAATCGTGGCAAATGGTATCACTTGTGTTCCAACTGAACTTGCCAAAGGTGCAGCGAATGCACTGGGACACCCCGAGGGGGATCATTTCCCCACGAACGCACTTGCGGACGGGAAGTGTCACGTTGCCCAGCGCGCGGAGGGAAGGGGACGACACGGTGATCGTGATGGACCGCCCTGTATTTATGGTGAGTCTTGGGCCAAAGGGGAATTTTCCCTACCTGGGAGTTGCTGCACCGATGCGCCTTTGAAATCGCAGACGCCAGCGACGGCGGTCGCTTGAGACGCGCCAGTCACAAACGCCCCTGACGTGGCGCTCTGTAGAGCCACGAGCACGGAATAGTCAGTCTTCACCGTTTGCATGTATTGGTCCTACGATGTATTTTCGTCATTGAAGTACTACCACAGGTATAATGTCATCGTTTGTATGCATTGCGTACCACCACATAGACAAGAAAAGTCCCTTCGAACGGCTGGCCACTGGCCTCCCCCGCCCAATCCTCTACCGTACTGGGAACCGTGTACACTGGCTGCAACGCGTATGGGGTCGATGCAAAGTCAGGCCCGCAGTACGCTTGGTTCAGACTGAACGATTGACTTTGCAACCCCCCGGGCTCGGCCTTTCCCTGCCAGTACACTGCACCCCCGCCACCTGTTCGAGCCAAGTTTGCTTGCAATACCGTGTGAATGAAATCTACGGCCATCGCAGTCAAGTACACGGCGCCCCCCGCCCCCGCCGCATTCCCCTTAAATATCGCACTGTCGATTCGAATAGTAACTGTGGAGTTGGATGTGACGCCGGAGTTGTCTGCGTATACGGCCCCGCCTTGGCTGTCGTCGCCCCCAACGTTGCCTTCCAAGGTGGAATTGCCAATAGCGGCGTTGGCTCCGAGCTGAATCACAACCAGCCCCCCGCCGATCGCGCGGAGTTCGTGGTTGAGTCGGTTCTGGGAAATTATGGAGTCATGGATGTCGAAGCCGTTGAGTTTGGTCAGATAGAGCCCCCCTCCTTGCCTCGCTTCGTTCTCGACGATGGTGGAATTGACTAGTTGAACGTAATTGTATGAAATGTACCCGCCTCCGCCCATGTCACTGGCCACATTCCCGTCAAACGTCGACTTTGTGGCCCAAACATCCGACATGTCTGTGCATAGCCCCCCCCCTGTGGCCGCTAGATTGCCCTCAAATGTCATTTCGTCCAGGTACACGGTGGAGCTAGCAGCAAACACCCCACCGCCAAAGTTGGACGTGGACATGGAAATCACCGACCCGTCCGTCACGTGTAGTGTACTGGCAAATCCGTACACGCCCCCGCCGTAATTCGCCGCAGCATTCCTCTCGAGATATGTCGAAATCAAGGTCAGAGTCGACACAATCGCGTAAAATGCGCCCCCGTTGACCACGGCTGTGGCCAACTGAACCTCCGAGTCGATGATTGTAGCGGTGCAATCTTCCAGCGACAGCATCCCTCCGTTGACAGACGACGTGTTCCACGTCACCAAGTTGGATAACGTCATCTCGACCAGGACCGCGTAGATGGCTCCCCCCATGACCCGCCCCACGCTCTGTCCAATCCGAAGCCCGTGGACATTCCCCCGAGAGACTTTGCAGTCGATCAGGTACACGGCGCCCCCCTTGTCGGCGGTGGAGTGGACCATCTCGACGTTCATCATGACGAGTTGGGTGCGCTGGGACATAGCTACGAGGGTACCTCCGTTGCCCAGCGCAGAACTCTACAAAGGACAAAATAGGATTCCGAATACATAGAATCGTGTGAGCAACGTACGTGGTCAAACTGCACTTGATACAGCTGCAAAAACACGCGGTTTATGACGTAGATACTGCCGCCGTCGAACCGACTGGAGCACCTGGCAAACGTCGAGTTGGTTATCGTCACAATCGAGTCGGTGGTCGCGTAGACGCCACCTCCGTTGTCCGCCACCCCCCTCAGAATCGACACATTCACGAGTTGGACTTCCGACTGACTGGTCGAGTACAAGGCGCCTCCATACAAAAACGCCAGACTGGCGTCAAATCTGTCGCCGTCGAGCGTCACGGAGGTCGAACTGTCCAGCGCAACAGAACCCCCGTTGGACGCCTCATTGGCCACGAAGTAATTGGACTGAAAGGTCACGCCTTGTTGAGTGCACTGGGCTAGCATCACCGCGCCCCCGTCTCCATCGTTCGCTGTGTTTTGGTCAAATTGATTCGAGTGAATGGTGGCACTGCTGGATTGGAGGTAGACTAGACATAGCCAGCGATTAAAGTCGAATAGTTTCGTGATATATTTATGCGGGAAACGTACTGGCGCCACCGGCTGTGGACGCAGAATTGCCGCGAAAGAGGTTACTTTTGAAGTCAATGTGGGCTCCGTTTTGAAACGAGATGGCACCGCCTGTGAACTTGGTCGCGACGTCTGTCGTGGAAGAGTCTGGTCCGGCGGAATTGCTCAGAAAGCTGCTGTGCGATTCCACAAAATTGTCCGGAGTGCCATACATGGCGCCTCCTGCAACTGTTGCCACGTTGTTTTGATATACATTCCACGATCCATTCCATGACGTGGCGGCCGTCACGAATACGGCTCCGCCGTAATCTGCTCGATTCGAGTCGAAGACATTCCAACTACTCGTGATGGAGCCCCTCACAGTCCCAAGCAGGCCAGTTGTATTGTTGTCCTGCGCACTATTGAACGTAAATACCAGCATGGCGGCAAACACGGTGATTCCACCCGCCTGGTTGCTAAGAAACGAGCAGTTGGTCACGACGGCGTTGCTGGAGAACTTCAACCCCAGCGCCGCCGCGCCAGAATTCCTGGCAAACGTGCAATTGGACACCGTGGCGGAGGCTGGGTTGCCGAGGACGTTGGCTCCTCCCGTGCCTTCATATCTCGTTACAACAACAATTTCTTCCGTTCCAGTTGAGGTATTGTTGAGAAATCGACTGTCAGCTACGGTGACAGTCGCAGACAGAATGGCCAGCGCACTTCTGCCGACGTTGAGCTCAAACTCGCAGTCGACTAGGCGACTGGCGCTGGGGGCCACCACCGCCACGATCCCGATGCCGTCAGTGTTGTGCACGAATCGACACTGGTGTAGCACCGTAGGACCAGATATCCATAGCGCCGCGCCATGTACATTAGACGCTACCTGATGCAAAATTCGTGAGCTTTCACCAAACGTGTGTACATGTAAATGTATACATACCGTGCATTGGGTGAATGTGATGCCAGTGATGGTGGTTAGCCCGCGAACGTGGGCAAGCTGCCACCCCCGAAAGGTGCCTAGACAATCGACGATGGTTCTATCAGGTCCCCCGATAGAGTCGACCCCCACCGCCTTGGTTACTACGAGATTGCAGTATGACGAGCCGGAATACCGCCCTGGGAACAATCGCAATAGGTCCCCGTCGCTCAATACATTGGCAAACAAGTCGGCAAAGGCGGTAGTGAAGGGGGCGTCGAGGCTGCCGTCGCCCATGCTGCCATCGGCAGGGCGGTAGCTCGGAGGCGCGACATAGTACACTTTCCGCGTCGAGTAAGCCACCACCACTCGACTACGACCCCCCCTCCCTTGCGACTGAAAGCGGATCTCGGCACTGCTTTTCGTGGATTGGAATGGAATTAGAGGGATAGAAGAGTGCGAAGTCAGCTCCAACGCGGGTGAGGACTGGGTGACCAAAGTAGGGGGGGGTATGGAAGTCAAGTCGTTGGTGCGACTGATTTGAACGTCTGTGGCTGTCCAAGGCATGGAATCATCATGTTCCCACTGTAAACACGTGGGGCTGCCACCGTCATAATCGACAGATTCCACGTCCCATTGCGATATATTGGGCGATTGCATTTCCGTGGCATAACAAGTTCGATTAAATATCGATGTCAAGCTCACACTTTGCACTTGCCACGGATAGAGAGGGGACAAGGCAGCACTGGCATCCACTTGACACTGCGAAGTTCCCGTCGTGGGGCTAGTCTCCACCAGTGTCCAGTTGGAGTACGTAGCTGGAACGTCCGTCGTGTTTTGTGTTGAATTGTGTCCCGAGAACCAGTATTTGGCGTAAAATCCCGTGGATTTGGTCGGTTGGGGGCCTGTAGCTGGCCCGATGCCGAATACAAAGCGCATGTTTCTTCCTACCGTAATCGATCGGGTAGTGATATTCCCGCAGAGAGCAGTGGAAACGGCCGTGTCCAAATCCACCAAGAGCAGTACGCCTTCAGTGCAGTCAATGTTAAACAAGTCCAACTGCAAGCGAATCGTCTGGGCTGGAGGTGCCTGTATCTCCCACTTACACAGCGTATCGTGGACACTTGGGGACGTTTCCGTGGGCTGCCCGTCCGAGAAGTACCCCGCCGAGGCGGTAAAATTGGTGGAGCTGATGCATTTCACAGGGGGAACTACGCCAAAGTCTGGGGGGACCAGTCTTTCGATAGATGCTGGCACGAGCCACGTATCGTTGAACCGGACGAGGGTGGCTTTTGCATCCACAGAGGAACGAAATACATTTGTCAGTGTAAAACTCACGACAGCACCAGTAGGACCAACAGAGTTGACGTACAGTCTGGTAATGTGGTACGGCGTGTTCTCCACCAAATTACCATACTCGGTCAAGAGACGCACAATGAGCTCGGTGGTGAGCCCAAACCCGTAGCGTTTACTCCGTTTCAAAGTACTTTGACTGAAGAACGAGCCATTTCGCCACGACAGTTGGGCTAATGTGTCGTCGAATGAGTTCCAAACCAACGATGATGATAGCTGCACGTCAGGCACATTCAACATGTAAGCGACGGCATTCCCATCCAATTGGAGCGATGTGGGGGGAACTTGACACGGCGACCTCACCAGCGTCCACTCCCGCACCAGTCGCGAGATGACACTGGTGGCCTGGACAGTCACCGTCGTGATATCGATGGTGCTCAATGTGGCGGTAGTGCTGTTGGTTGAGGATGCAACGGCGTTCACCACAGTGGACTGTATCACAGTGGCCCTGCTTCCGCCCGCCAAGCAACCAATGATAGCCTCGCTCAACGCAGACTCGTACACCTTTACGCGTTGGATCGTTCCGATCCAGAACCCGTCGCCCTGACCATTCGATACGGTGGCCCCAATCACGAGTCGATTCTGGACGTCCGAGAACGTCAATATGGGCAGCTGGCACGACGCCCGTCCTGTGGCCACACATGTTTGGTAGTTTGTGACGGTGTTCAAAGTCGAGTGTCTGACGCCATTGACGTAATATGTCCATACCCCGCTGACTACAGTGATGGCCAAGTGCACCGACTCGCCCGTGAACGACGTTGGATTCGTGGATGCGACGCCGTCGTTTTGGCCGACGGTTCCAAAGATCCACACGCCAGACGCTTTCGTGGTGGGAGCAAACTTGAGGAAAATAGACCCAACTGCTTGGTTTTCTTGGCTGAATATGTACTGATCTTTGGTGGTCAGCACCACCTCTGCTTGAACGACCATCGTAAACGGTATCGATTGCACTTGGTCGAGCACAAACTTGGTGCGAAACGCCCCGTAGTACAATTTGGACGCGTCTATCGCCCAGTTGCCAGTGTAGTCAAAGAGGGGCGTCACAAGGCACTGGTCAGTGTACCCACTCGTGCCTAGATCAGGTCTCAAAATGGAGGTAAATTCCGCAAGTTGGCCGGATAACCCATCCAAGTTCACGTCGCTGCCGTCCTTGCATGTCGAAAACGACGATGTCCGTCGTCGGAGTCGAAAAAGCGCTGGATACGGAGAAGTGTCGGCGTTGCTTCTGGTATCGATGGGTCGCAAATGGTATTCCACCGTGATGTTAGCTGAGTTTTGGTCAAACGAGTTGAAATACAGTTGCGACGTTGTGAGCACTGAGGCATACGCGGACGATGACAATGTCCACCAGAAGGTGGCGATGGTTTCGCTAGCCAAACGTCGACTGAGCCCCACGGCGGAGGCGTCCGCACAGACCTTTCCCCGTTCAAACGTGACCACATGATACACCTTGGAGCACGCGGAAGCGTTGAACGTACTTGGCCACAACGTAGCTAGGGCTACCGTGGACGAGATATTGCGAATCACGGCTTGGGTGTACTGCACTTGGCCTCGGCTAAAGAACGCCGCGCGGTCCATCGCCATGGCTGCGCTGAGGTTGTACGCAGAAGTATACATGGTAGCCACTCGATCTCCATCGTAGATACTTAGAATGACGTTATCATCTGTGAGATCCACCAATTGCATGTCCAGCATCACGATCGAGTTGGACTGCTGAATGTGCCACGAACAGTCGACGAGCGCCCCAAAGCCCCCTCGTGAAGAGATATCGGGCACGAAATGATGGTCGCGTACCACTGTGGACGATGGACTCGGGAGAGTGATGGTCCCCGATCCCTCCGGCACAATCACATGGTTCGAACACGGTGGAATAGTGACGTTGCAATGACGGCCTGAAGTGCCTGGGCGGCAGACGCAGTGGCCTCTGTCATCGCAGTCACCGAAACAGGGCATGACACAAAACGTCGACCATGCCACCAGGCGAAACGCGTCGGCGGTGGCGGACGACGTCGGTGAGGAATATCGTAGCAGCACTTTGGACGAGTTGGCCGTGAATATTTTGCGCAGGTTATGCGACAGCACCAAAGCCGACGACTGCAGAATCGACGGGCCGTGGAAATGCAAATGGTTGGCAAATCGACTCAAATCCAGCCGAGTTTGAAACGAATAACACACCACCAACGACACATCCGACTCCTCGCACGGCAAATTCATCTGTCGATTGATCTCAAACACGGTCTTGGGCTCACTGAATAGAACGACGTGGCGTAGCTGGCCACTAAAGTAGATGTTGGTCGCATCGGGTAGGCTCGGCTGGCCACCAATGTACAGCAGACCTTGGCTTATAGTAGTGGTAGTAGTAGCATTGGAGGTGGTGGCGGCAGAGGCCACAGGCACGAGCGTTCCGTCAATGTACCCAAACAGGTCGGAATTGCGTCGAACGATAGCCACGTGGAGCCACGAGCTAAGCCGCACGTCAAAGAGGAGGGAAAACGACCTGCCGGTATTGAACTGAACCGACAAAACGCCCGTGTCCGGGGCGAGCACGACGTTAAACCCAGGGAAGTGGTTGTCCGAGCCCAGCACTTTCATTGGCTTGGGTATATTGTTGGTCAAACAAGCGCTAGCCACAGTGCAATCTGCAGTCAGGGTACTCGCCACTTGGATCCAAAACAGAATACTCGACGGAACTTCCACTGGCATATCAGAGACCAAGTAGTCTGTCGCGCCATTGAAGTCCACAGCCGAATGCTCCACGCTGTAGCTCGTGCTTGTGATCGTAGCCAGCAAGGAGGACGGGGTAGAATCTGCATTCAGATCGAACAGGTCAATGCGGTCTGAGGTTAAGGCCAAGCTGAGAAACTGCACCCACACGACACTGCCAGCTGACGCATTGGCAGCTTGGAGGATAAAGTCGCAATTAGAGATACTATTTGGTGAAAGGACTAGCGTGGAATTGTCAAAGCTGTAGGTGGGAAATACCACCGAGTCTTGAAAAGATAGTGTCGTAACTGCATTCGAACAGAAATGCGCTGTTGGAGCTGTTGGAAACGAGTACACAGTGTCGAATTCGACGATAAACCCATCGCCAGGTGTCCCTGACTTGTCGCCCGCCGTCGAGAGTGTAAACTCAGCCTCGCGTTGCATCAATGTTCTAGACAACCCATGTCAGACCCTCGTTATAAGGACATGCTTAGTACCTGACGGTCGAGCCCGAAATCAAGTTCGCCGACGTGCCAATAGATGTCGTGACTGCCAACACATCACCTTGCCCAAGTTGAGACTTGGGTACGACATACGTCAGCACTGCGAATGGTTCCAGCGCCTTTGGGTGGATTGCTGGGTAGATATTGAACGTGCATTCATGCACTCCATCCGTAACGCTATTGCTTTCGTAGCCATCTTCAAAGGACCCCCCTGTCGAAGTGTAGACGACTTGGCCGTTCTCGATTCCGCAGCCATTCTGTTCGGCTAAACATGTTTTCTTGGTGTTTTGCAGCACGCAATAGGGCTGGGGGGACGGCGGGTCAGAGGCAGAACCCCCGATGGTTTGGCAGGAGAAGACTGACACGGAAGTGGCGACAACCGCCTCGTCCGGTCCTTCCACCACGCACCGCTCCGTCCGGGCGACGCCGGTCCCTACCACTTGCCATATATTGTGTGCATCCTGCTGAAACATAAACTCGCGCGTCATGGTGTATCGTTTCGCAGTCGTTCCAGACACAAAGGTCGCGTTGGCAGAGCTATTGAATGGCAGGGCGGGGGTAAGCGGAGGTCCTTGGTTTGTGTTTTCTATGAAGAAGCACTGGCTAGCGCACTGATTGGTCTGTGGACCCCCGGCAGTGACTTGGGTCTTGATGTAATTGTACGTTATCTGCACCGTGACTGAGGGAGGGGCCGTTGAATTCACCCTCGTGATGACGTAATTCGACGTGTTCCAAGGGGGCATCGTGTTGCACTGGCAGGGTTGAACGAGCTGGTCCAAGGTTGCATAGGCGTATGGTTTAGCCACGGCAACAAACGCGGCCGCGTTATACGCCTTGGTCGCTACATATGACTCGAACGCAGTGCAGTCTCGCAGGGGGAGGGTAAATGGAAAGATGCAGGCTTCGCGGGTGTCTTTGGTGAGTGTGGGAACTGCCACCAGTGGCGCCAACGCTGTTAAAGAATCTACAGATATAATAACAAAGTTATTCAAGCAGTGGGGGGAGGGGATTGATGGTACCAGCACGAGTCACACAAGTGGAGGTGAAGCCACCATGGGCGACGTAAAATGTCGACGCCAGGGTGGTTGAAGGCAAGATTTTCACACAGGAAACGTCGTTGATGCAGATTTCAATTGATGTGGGGCTTAGCTTCTGTAGACGAATCGACAGATTGGAGGTTACAGGGGTGGCAATAGCTAGCGAAGTCACAGCTACGGTATCCACCAGCACTTGGACTGACTTGGCAGTGACCGAAGTGACTTGCAACAGTGCGATACCATTGGCGGCTTTTACTCCCACTTCCCACGTTGTAGACAAAACTATCCCAGTCACAGAAAGCACCATCCCCGTCGTAAAGCTAGTGGAAATGTCCAGAGGATACGCCACACAAGCATAAACACCTAGAAAACACATAGTCAAGGGACATGTAAGTGCAATATGTTAGCAACATACTTGAAGGCGACACGATCAAGGATGGGGAGCCAGTCAAATCGTTTTGGTTTGCACTCCAATCCCTTGTGGACCCTTGGCCAAAGTTGAATTCAGCGACTACCGACGGGCTATCTGACGACGAGGTAGGTGCAAATAGAGTTGAAGCCGGCTTCGCAATGGACGACATCCGAAAGTAGGCTACAGCTCCGTCAGCCGAGCCAAATGTCAGTGCTTGGTTGGGTGCAAGTGGGGGTACACTGGGTGCAACCGTAGTAGTCGCTAGAACGGTCTGCTTTGAATACAACGTCATGCTGCCTTGGACGTTGTCCCACACCCAAGCCACATCGTGCCACAACCCGTCGGCGATGTTCACGTCGGAGTTCCAAGCACCCAAAATGGAAGCTGAAAATGCCAGTGATGAGCTATGAGTGATACTCAACCCAGGATACGCGACGATGGTGTCGGAGGGCTGTGCACTGGCAAGTCGAAGGCGAACTTCGATCGTAAGGCCGAGAAAGGTCGAGGTGTTGGTAAGCCCCACTAGGGAGCAAACGGTGGAGGGGGGCGTCAGGGACAGACCCAAGCTGTCGGGGGCTTCGCATTGAAAAGTGTCGGTATCGCACACTGTAAACGCCGGGCAGTCGCTCGTAGCCACACATTGTTTTCTGTACGAACTACTGCTACCCAAGACAGGACTGCTGTCTGGCAGCACAGCCACACATTTTCCAGTCGTGGTGCATACATTCCCCTGTGGACATTGGTAATTGAATGGACAGGATTGCTCGATGTAGTCGCCATCCCACGTCACCATCGGCAGCGATTTAGGCGCTACGAAATTGATTACGTTTTCGCTTCTGAAAAAGGTAGAATTACCAGGGAGCGACGGAGGCAGCGTGCAAAATAAGCATTCCCCCGTGGACAGTTTGCCCTGGCTGCCACTATACGCAGCCGTGGAAGTTGAGGGAGTACACAGTTTGGGCTGGTTGGTTTCACCAATGGCGTCGCAGTCGGGATCTGAATAATATCGTGTGACAAGTTAATTTTACTGTATGCATATACATATATATATGCATACCGTAGAGGCCACAGCCACAGTCGCATCCGTCGGTGGAGTTATAGTGAGAATCTGTGCAGAACCAGCCTTGGGGAACACTACACGACGCACCACTCCAGCCTTTGGCGCACAGACAGTGGCCATATTGGCACACACCCCGCGAAGGCCCCGAGCACTTGTACGGGCAGAATGAGGTACTCCACGACATGGTGAAGCCTCTGGAGCGAGCGTTGGCGTCCGTAGAGAGCTTGAGATACGCTGTTCCTTGGGTAGTTATCACTAGCCCTTGGGGGGCGTTGTGGACACTGTACGATGCTAACAACGGAGCGCTCTCAGACCCTCCGTCGTATCTACCACAGGATCAAAAGAGGAAATTTCAAGTGGAAAGTGTAGTACATGGCGAGCCCCGAGACGCCTTGCAAGTCGAAACTGGTAAAGGATATCCACACTGCATCCATGCCCAAGTGGTCGCCACTAGCGTCAAGCCGAAACGGCTGGAGGTGCCACACGCACGTGATATTGGGCTGCATCTGCCCCACGACATTGTCTTGAACAGTGTATGACGCCGACGTGGTGATCGTGTCAGATACGTCCACGCGAGGTGAGAGGACCGTCGCAGGGGCACAGTAGGACGGCACTACACGCCAACTTAGTACAAAGTACAGCGGCAATCTGTACCAAAGTCATATCGGATCTGAAATCCGTAGGTCGTCGAGGTGTCAGTCCCCTGGATGAACGATCGGAAAACAATGTACACGTCGGACGCACTAGATGTAAGTGTCATGGCGTTGTCTGTATCCGGCGTATACGCGCCCGTGAAGTAGATCCACGTGAGGTTGCGCTGGGGGTCGGTCAAGAGCGACCCTGTGGTCAAGTCGGTGGTAACCGGGTCAAAGGATGTGGCCGGACACACGTTCGTGCCACCGTTTGAAGAAGTGTAGTCCCACGCCCCAATATCATCGGTGCCAGCGCTAACCTGGTGTCTCCTGTACGCCGCCCATCCTTTTGGAATGGAAGCCCCGGGTTTGGAGCTGCCCAAGTTGACCAACAGGACGTCGTTGTTGCTGCCTCGGTACTGCACTAGATTCAGCAGGTCGAACGTGAGCTCCACCACCGTATTGGCCTGGGTCGAGGAGATTTGCCAGTGGCATTCCATCGACGCCGCATACAACCCCGACGGGGACGCCCGGTCCTGCACGACGCCAGGTGCTTTTGTGATGGAGCTGGATAGCGAACAAGTTTGCCCACGCACCACGGAATTGCAGCATAACCAGGCGGCCAGGAAGACCGTCAACCAGCACGCCTGCCATCCCATTGTCTGATCAAAGTGTCGGTTCGAAATGTAACTGGTGTATCCGTTACGCTTTCTTTCGCGACTCGGGTACTGCTTTTCTCGCACCATTTCGGGTCTTGCTGCCTCTGCGGCCTCATGTCAGGCTACGTTATGCATTCCAAGAACTGGTAGATTCGCTTGAATGTATGATTCATGCGTGCTTCGCCCAGTTGTAAAATCTGTCGATTTCATTGAATGATTGAAATTAGAAATGTATTGTGCTTTCGAGTGAAATTTCGGGTTGTGGCGTGGTTTCTCGTTGGAATTTAAATCGATTTGATTGGCTACTTCATTTGAGCTCAACATTATTAGCCAATTAAAACCTTCTAAATGAAATTCAACCAATCAGATCGATTGTGGATCGGTTTGGTCGGCGCGATTCTATTGCACCCCCTCGTATCAAATTTGTATCAAATCGACAATATAGGAAAAACTGATAAATTGGAGAAAAGCTGAATATTTGACTTGATGTCAGCCATGTTAATGCTCGTCGTATCAAATCGACAATACTTCGAAGTAAGTCTTAGGAATGGCTTTTGGAGAAAATAATGTAACGCAATTTATGATACACTGATCACTTTATGATATACGCAAAGCAGCCAATCAGGAGGCAGAAATCTGCGAATTACCCTAAATACGCACTTTCGAAGCATTTTAGGATACATAGATTAAGTTTAAATTGTGTATCATAAATTGATAATCGAAATAAGTGTAACCTTGCTTGGACAATGTAAATTTGACCGTGTTAATTGCCGCAAAACTTACAGTTAATACTTTCTAATGGAAGAAGCAGCCCTGTATTTCAGCTACAAACATCAAGTTTCAGAGGCGAAATTGGATTTGTATCGAGGAGATTCGAAGGCTATGGTGAGGCACCTCTCTTAAATGTATCAATAATTGATCATTCACGTTAAGGCCGAGTCTGGATGCCACAGAAAATTTTATGTCAAATTATATTCTGACAGAGAATTCCGTTTTCAAATGGGAGGTGAGAAAATATTTTCAAATATTTTGATGTGACCTCTGGATGCCATGATGGAAGCAGAACTATCGATAGAATACATGTAGGTAAACATTGGACAGTTGCAGTTCAAACTTTTTTCTGTCAGAAAACAGTAAAAATGTGTCACTTTATATATGTCAGATTTTGTAGCCAAACACACAAAAGCCGTCGTTTGAAAAAGTGTCATAATATTTCTGAAAAGTTGCAAAAAGAGGTGTTTTCTGACACTTTTTGTGGCAGCCTAGGGTGCGTTTGGTAATACTTCAAAAATAATATTGCATTTCTGGCAAAATGGGATAAACGAAAAATGCCATTTCCAAAATGGAGGTAAAAGGTCCATTTTGTAATCAACGAGTAAATCCCACTTGGAATTATTGGATTTGGGCTAAATCTCTTCAAGCAAGACATGTCTCAATGTTGAATTTGGCCTCAAAATGGCATTTTGGGCCAGAATATTGTAATATTTCAGGTTGCCAGACGGGCCCCAAACTCTTTTTATGATACCTCAACCGTCATGTACACAACTTCGAAACCCCAAAGTATAAGATACGACAAATTCGGCGGGGCGAGCATAACTCCAACGAGTTGCCACCATCGTTTAGGCCAACGAGGGGTTGTGCTATACTGTAACCACACCTGTGGTGTTGTCGTCAGGAAGTTTCTAACGTTAAAGTAGTATATACTTGTGTTTCGCCAGTCCGTACTTTACAGAGTACCCGATGATACAGGTTATTTATTGTAACCTCTATAATCTTTTTGCATATAAAATGATATAGGTTATGAATTGCGTGGGGCAAAAATGACATGTAGTCAGACAATTCAAGCGAAGTTTTTCACAAGGTATTGGTTTTCACAGCATTTGATTCATTCAATATGATTCACATGTGGAATTCTGGCAGCACATACAAAACAGCATACTAATTGAGTTTATATTGACTGAAATATGCAAAAAAGACTGTTTGTTGATGTCGTCGACTGTTAGACTGTTAGCTGTTGTAAGATGGGACAGCTAGTGAATACAGTACTACTGTAGTAAGCTTACTCCGGAGTAATACACTGCCATCAAGTACTAGGGAGTATAACCGTGTCACTGGAGGTACTTTTGCTCATTGGACGATTGCCGATTAAACATGGTTACAGTAGACAAGGCAAGTTGACAAAGCTGAGCTTTCAACGACGACGCTGTCAAGGTCCTTCGCCCCGACATCATTGTGGCTGTCGTGTTATTGCATTTTAGTGAAAGTTATGAGATCAAGTTTGCGGGCAATATCTCATATTCGAGTGGTTACAATGAACTGTCAAGTCACCGAAAATCAACAGTAGTCTCGTGAAACCCCCTGCTATTCTTGGATGTCAATGTCCACATTGAAGAGCTATAATGGCAGTGCCGTCTACACACGATGCAGTCCGCAGAACGTGCATGAACGCTGCGTGGGTCAAGGCCCAAGCAGCAACAAGTAAAGTCGACCCGAGCGCTCGAGACCCAGCGACCAATCGCAAAGTGCATCCGTGGCTCCGCCCGTCCTTGCGTTCTGCCCGGTTCAAGGTGAATGATACCTGAGTTTTCAATACCCATAGCTTTCTGACTGGCTTGGGTTGTAGGTGCAGGACCTGCGAATGACGCCAAATGTTTACACTGCCACTTGCGGCTTCCAAGAAACTGTGTACGGCATGGGGGCCACCGTGGACGCCTCTACTGGAAGCATTGTCAACCAGGGCACCGTCCAAGGCACATTTGTAGCCGAGTGGGGCGGGTGGCCCACGCACGAAGTGACGTCGTATGTGAACGCGATTCTGCTGCAAGAAGTGGTAACACAATCCATTGCAAGACTACTGTTTTTCCCCCTTTAAAGAGTCGACATTTATGAATTTGACACAATCCTAGCTCGGGTACGACGTGTCGTTCGTGTACAGTTCGGGGACGTACTCGACTGAGCGCATGTCGACGATGGGGCGAGGGGTGTGCACGCCGACGCATTTGAACCCCGAAGTATGGACCACGTCGCAGATGACCACGCTAAAGCAACACGCGAACGAGTCAACTATGTCCAACATTGGGTACTGGGGAAGGTACTTAATCCTTTTTGAGGCTATCGCAATTGAGTAGTACTTGACCAGGAGCGGGCATTACACCCTTCGAGCGAACGTCCAAGATGCCCTTCTTGGCCCACTCAGTGTATCGGGTAGGTCATCCCTTGGTTTCGATATATTCGTGACACGAATCATCTGCAGGCAACTTGACTCGCCCCATCTCGGCCGACTTTTGGCGAGAGTTTACACTGACCAACGAATTGATCGAGTTCTTCTCCGTGCACCAGCACAATCGGTCGCGCATTTGCCAAGTCAAAATACTGCGCCGACGGCGTGGGGGGTTGCTTGGACGGATGCTCGAAATCGCACGCGTGTACGCTGAACGAAGCCCAAGGTGTTCTATGCACAAACCCGCTCCCTGGGCAACGTTATTTAACATGATTTTATAGGCAAGCCGTGTATGTTAGTGCTCAATATGCGGTGGGCGTACGACCCTGGTTACCTCCAAGCGATCATGTCCAACAACAACGTGCCAGCGTACTTTTGCTTTGCGGGGGACTCGGGCCTCCAAGCGTACGTGGTCGAAACCATGCAAAATCAAGGCGCCATCACGTTCTACCACTACGAACCCGATATGTTTCACATTGACAACGCCGGCAAGTTTGCTCGTATTCTGTGGCCATTGCCGGATCCTGCCGTTGTGGTCACTGCCACAGGCACATTTGGCGAACTGGGGTACGCCCCCCCTTGTATGGATTCGTCATTTCGAAGATATACAGGTACGGAAAGAACACGACCAACCCCGTCAGCGTCGACTACCCCCAGGAAAACCTGATGAAGATTTACTCCAACATCTTACGCAATGACGACTTCATTACGTCAACAAACTAGTGCTCACCCAGCTGGATGTGACGACTATGATGGCCGATATGACCAAGTTCCAGGCCAGTTCGACCGAGCCAGCCAACTTTGCCGCCGCGTGCCAATGGGTTCGCTCCAACTACGACACGTGGACGTCGTAGGTGGACAACCTGCCGCTTTGCGACATCCGCCACCACGTCACATATACCATCAACGGATGCAACGACACCATTCGCCACGTGTCTTTTCAGTGGACGCGGCCAGACCCGACAAACGTCTCGCTGCCGTTTGTGTGCGACGGAGGGCTGATTGAGCTCCCGCTAGAGTTCCACACCAGTCGGTCCTGTGATTGGCTCAACGGGCACGAAATCGAGTAGACGGGATGGATCACCAGCTACCGCCAGCCAGCGTGTGACGGCTCGTTCTACAGCTACACCATTTCTGCGTGCTCTTCGGCGTCCACAAGGCAAGTGACGTTTGCGTGGCTGCTGCCTGATGCTTCCAATCTCGGCATTTCCAGCGAGTGTTCAGGGGGAGCCCCCCTCCCGAGCAATGCCGTCATCGACTGCGACTTTGTCCCGTTCAGTTCCTCGGTAAGTCTACTGGTCTAAATATCGTGAGAGCGACGCCGTACGTGTTGTAGGCGTATGTGGGTATTGCAGTGTTTACCGCGGTCGTGTTGGCGGTGTTGGCGATCTTGACCGCTCTGGTCTTGTGGTTTCGAGAACGCCCCATCATCAAGCGATCCCAGTGGCCACTTCTGGTGCTCATGCTGGTAGGGGGCTTCTTTCTCTGTGCTACGGCGCTCTTAGGGGGAGGGGCCCCCACCCCCTGGCTGTGTACTGGCCGCCCCATCACCGCCTCCCTCGGGTACACGATGGTATTTGGCTCCCTTCTCGCAAAGTCCCTCCGCGTGTACCTTGTCTTCCACCAAAAAGCCATGAAACGCGTGGTGATCACCGTGTGGCGGGCGCTGCAATGGTTTCTCGTTGTATTGGGCATTGACAGTTGTATGTAAAACAACATTTCATTTCTCCACAGCATTCAACATGATGGACTTATTGTAGGCATTTTGGCGGCGTGGATGGTGGTGGACTTTCCGCACCCGGTCACAGTCACCGGTCCGTCGACAGACTTTCACGGGGACGTCGACACCCAGCAGTGCTCGTCGAGCCAGTTCATTTTTCCGGCCTTGTCCATGTTTTGGAAGGGACTTGTGACGTGTGGAGGGGTATATGTGGCCTTCCAGATCCGCCAGGCAGACAGCGACTTCCAAGAATCCGCGTGGATGTTTGCCTCGTCCTGCATCGTCGTCGTCGGGGGCTGCGTCCTCCTAATCGTCTCGTACGCCGCTACCATGCCGGCTACGTCCGTGTTTTTGTTTCAAGCGGTGCTGATTCTGTTGTGCACGGTATATGAAATCTATTCCCCAAGGCTGTTGTCATGGGGGGGTCCTATGATGGAAACTGCATATTGACTCTTCGCTCTGCTGGATGTAAATGTATGTGTAGGTAGCCGTGATGACGCTGATGCTGGTCCCCAAGTTGCTCAAGTTGTACGCGGTCACGCCCATCGAAGTGTTTGCGTCGCGAAAGTCCACGGCGTCGTTGGTGCACTTGATGTCGTCTAAAAAGCAGCTCAAACTCAATTCCCAACGCCAGTCCAGTGGGTCGCTCCAGGCGCCGACGTCTGCGGTTAGGGTCCAGTCGTCCGGAGCGTCCCAGGACTTAAGGCGAGACGCCACGTCCGTCGCATCGGTTGCATCGTCGTTGTGATAACGGATATATACAGTATTTATATCATCAAGTACCACTATATATACCCCTTTAAGCAAACAATGCGATTGGGGTGATGTCTGGACGTCAGTATAAGCTAACGGAACAAGATCTCTCATTCACTGATCAGCGCAACTGCCCGTTTCACATACTCCGGTAGACATACATAAAGGCCAATAGTTGTCTCATAAACGTGGAACCAATTATTGGATGAAACCGGAAAACTGTAACCGTTTCCGAAACCGATCATGCAAAAAGCAATCAACAGGACCAATTCCGTCAGAATTACAGTAAAAATGGCGTCCAACGTTGGCGGTGCAAGCAGCGCCACATGGGGGCGACACCGTTCAAGGCGGTGTCCCCAGCACAAGCAGCTGACGAGATGACTGCGCTTGGCTCTGCGTATGCAGTGTATGGTCCGAGCATCGTGTCGAATGCAATCGGCGGGGACGTGCTGGCATCGTTGGAATTCGAGCAACTGCCCATGCTCTTCAGCACTGTTGGCGTAACCAACACCATCCACCAGGCCAAGCTCACGTCCCTGCTCAAACTCCACCGCCCTTCGTTGCTTCAGAGAACTTTAAGCCAAGCCAAATAGCTGGACGTGGCGTTGAATATGCGCAGTAAAACCCAACGCTTTGACGTGTTTTTGAGCCATGACTGGGGCGTGGACGGCGCCACTCACGCCAAGGTTGGACTTGTCAACACGTTAGGTACTGGTTTTGAACCTATCGAAGAACGAAGCCTGTGTGGACGCATTCCTAACCCACGGCCTGCTTGATCACATGTGGACCTCACATTCCCACGAGGTTGAGCTCACGCTCCATTGTCTGTGCAGACATGTCCACGGCTGTGTTGCTGTATCGCAGACGTCCGTCCCACTGACCCCCTTGGCTCCTCTACACTGGAAAGAAAAGTCTCGCTGTGGCTAGCCAGCTCGTTGCTGCCGACTTTTCAGGGTGTTTCTGTGAAATAATGTCGTGGAGATGGCTCTTGCTAGCCTGGTCAACGTCTCGGCCAAGGACGACCGGTGGCGGCGGGCGATTGAGCCCCATGTTGATTTGGTCATCCTTCCGCTCTTAATCAACCCATGGCACTCAAGCTCGTGGCCGAGACGTTGACCAGGCTACCAAGACGTGATCTAGTGAGATGAAGACTGGTCGGGGGCATCCAAGTGGACGTCCACGATGCAGAGTCGACATGTGTGTGGAAGGGTATCGTAGCTACACTAGATCGACTAGCATAAGACTAAGCCACAATATGCACGTCGTGAGGGTTGGGCAGATGATTCCCTAGGTACACACTGGACAAAAGAGGGGGAAAAGAGTTTTATTAAGTCTAGTTTTAAGACCATCGGTTTGATATTCAGCCCCCGTTAGCATTTTGACAGGCACATTCCTACACTACTCGTAATAAGCTGCAGAGGTTCTTATAACGAGAGCGTGGACACGTTAAAACGGAGGTTTGGAAGAAAAGGTCATGGGAATGTTGGTCGTGGGGTGGACGAGCTCCAGGGTCGTGGCGTGCAGACACAGCCGCGACGACGTACACTCTTGACTGGCATACAGCGAATCGCCGACGATGGCGTGACCAACACTCTGCATGTGCACCCGCAGCTGGTGCGTTCGGCCTGTGACGGGGGTCAGGTGGACCCTCGAGTGTCCCTTGTCCAAGTGTCGCAGCAGCAACGTGCACAGGGTCTCACTGGGTTTCCCACGTCGTTCGTCCACAACTTGCTTGACTCTGTGCGTCGGGTCGGCGGCCAAAGATGCACTTATGACGCAACTATCGCAGGACAAGAGGCCTTCCACCACCGCCGTGTACGTTTTGCCGATGGTTTTGGCTCGGAATTGCGCATTCAGACTCTGCGCCGCCGACAATGTGCGCGCCACCACCATCACCCCCGACGTCTCCATGTCCAGACGATGCACCATGCGAACCTACACATGTCCAACTTAGTATCATCTTCAACAGATGGACGTACGTTGGGGTACTTGGACCGAAGGATGCGATGGAGCGATGTGGGGCGGTCGCGGCCGTCGACGCTGGGGAGGTCGTGGGGCTTGACGACGACGATGATCGCGTCGTCTTGGTGGAGAACCTCCAGAGGAAGTGTCACATCCAGCACCTCTGCGGGAGGAGGAGCTGGACGCGTATACAGCACAAGGCGGGACGAGTCCTCTGCGCTATCGACGTGGACGATGGCGTCATTTTGGTGGACGAGGTAGCTAAGCAGCAGCGTAGTCGTCGCATGAAGGTCCGACAGATGATCTAAGCGTTTCGAGTGGTACAGTCGGAGGGGGATGTCGCTCGAGTACGCGGTTGTGCCGAGTAATGCCGTCGATGGAACATGTTCGTGGAGCCGCCGGACGCGAAACGTCAACGTGGTCAAGTCCACAGAGTTCTACACGTCCATCCTCGTCAGAACAAGGAGGCATCCCTGGAGGTTGAATACCTCTGCGGCAATGGCGTCCACGGCACTCTGCAGCGCATGCCGCACGACGGCTTCGGCGTGTTCGTCGCAACTGCTTGCTCGATGCCGTTTCCTCGCCATATCGAGCCCAATGTCTTTGATTGGCTTAAAAAGAAATATTTAGACCAATCAGAGCTCATATATTCTCTTATTGGAACAACGTTAAACCCCGAAACCCCGGAAATGACATCTACTGCAGAGTTCCATGGAGGAATATGCCGACGCTGCTTTGAATCACGCATGTACATAGCTCCCTTGAAGAGAGAAATACTCCCGTGCATGCAGCAGTAGGTAGAAACCACCTTGTTGCGCAACGACATCCCCATGCACAAGACTCGTTGAATGATACATTGTGCATATATTGATGGTATCTTAACCATTCCCGGCCGCCGACACGCGAGGCACGTCGTGATGTTCCGACAGATTCCCAAGGTACTGGCTGTACTCGTCTACGCGCTCGCGGTATGTCTTGGACGCTTGCTTCTTGATGTCCTCTTCTTCCTACTCCACGAATGAGAGATCACCATCCTTTTTTCGATACGTTGGTTGCAAGGACGTACCCGCTTGGCTTTGAACTTTTGATGCTTCTTTTGCGCAGGGGTCATGGCAGCGATGGGCACGAGCACCTCGGTCTCCTGCTTCTTCACTACATCGCTCTTCTCCTCGGTCTCTTCCGCATGCTCCCGCTTTCGTTTCTTCTTGGACTTCTTCGAGAGTGGCAAGCCCTTCAAAGACAGCTTCCCGCCCATCACGTTCCCATACTTCTCGCGCTCCATCAACGTTGAATATTTCGAAGGTCTTGAAAGCGTTACAAGTATAATATGTCCAAGGAATATTAAATATCACAGTTTTCAATACTATAAAGTTAAGCTTACAAATATATTACTACATAGTAATACCATTATCGCTAAAAATAGGAGAAATAAAATCACCCTTATTATTACACGTACTGTATGTACTACAGTATACTTCGAATTATTCTGCACCTCCTGCTAATTGCGAAAACAGCGATAATACACTTGCTGCACCTACCCCTTGAAATATCAATACTAACGAGTAATTGGGCAAAGAAATTATACTAATATGAGTGGGAACAATATGTCGCAAAAGCGAACACAATGAAAACATTGTGCCACCTCGTTAGAGCTCCTTACGAGCCTGTTTGCGTCGGCAAGACTCCTCGACCAAGGTCTCAAGGCTGGGGCACCCTTTTCAGGTACGACAAGAAGTGTATCATTTATTGGAGTTTTTTCAGAAACTGTCGTCCAACTAACTCAAAACGTAACTTTGCAATTTACCTCGCTTTGACCTGATGGCCAACATTCTTGCTTCCTCACTGCGTTTGCCGCCATGGCCAGTGTGACCGTGAACCAAACCGACGACCGCCAGCTCCAAACAGCGTCATATTTTTGCTGGAAGGCAACGCGGACGTTGGCCGTGTGCCGGAATCTTGCGCCGCTGGACAAAAGCGCCTGGGTCTGCTGTGCTACGACAAGTGTCCAGTGGGCACGACCCGCGAAGGCCTCGACTGCCACTCGATCTGTCCCGCTGGGCTCGCCGACCAAGGACTGTTTTGCCGCAACAGTGAATACGGCCGGGGGGTTGGGTACCCATGGAAGTTTGGCGACTCGCTCAACGACAGCGGCATGTACCAACGCTGCCAAATGGACCACGACAGGACAAGTGCGAAAAATGGGAGTTGGTTGTGTGCCCCAAGTGCTTACCGGGCTACACTTGGGTTGGTTGATGTATCTGTCGACCTAACTCCCAAATGCGGGTCCCTTGGCGGGGGCGGCGGGTTGGTCTTGTCATGTGCCAAGAAAATCACGGTTATGGCACCTACGCTGGGCACGTGCGCTACCAACGAAGACCACGATGCAGGCTTGTGCTACTCCAAGTGCAACCCCAACTACACGGGTGTCGGCGCAGTGTGCTGGGGTCGCCCTCCTGCCTTGTGGATGCTCCCCACTTGCGACAAAGTTGCAGCCTTCATATCCAACAAGCAATGGGTAGCTAGCTTCCTTGAGTTCCGTCGCAGATGATCCCGTGCCTATGCACTACGTTTTGGATATCAAACCTCTAGCATAAAGCACCTAATGTAGTATGTGGAAGAGATATGATCCATGGTATAGTATGTGTTACCTTGTTACCAAGCTCTACATTGAGTGCAGGTCGGCGCAGACGCTGCTCTGTTGAATGCGCCGGCTTGCACAACCACCTAGCTCGCTACCATGTTCGACCTTAGATTTCGATGACATATCCAAAAGTGATCCTATCCTATGGATACCAGTAACGTTACGTACTTCAAAGTCGTAAATATGAGCCTGTGTTGGGGCTGGTGGTCGTCGATTTGGTTCACTGTCGCACTGGCCATGGCGGCAAACACCGTGAGGAACGCAAGAATGTTGGCCATCAGGTCGAGGCGAGGTAAATTACAAAGTTACGTTTTGAGTTAGTTGGACGACAGTTTCTACCCGTGAAACTTCAATAAACGTCACAATGCTTGTCTTGTTCCCACGTCTTGTTCCCTCCTGAAACAGTACCACAGTCCTTTTCTCAGAAAATCGCGAACACGGATCTAAACTACACTTCTCATTAGCTTTTTAAGCTCGCGTTTGTAAGGGTCAAAAAGTGTCATTTGTTTTGAACTATGGTGAAATTTCAAATGACGTCGTTTGCTCGACAAATGGCCCAGATTGCCATATTTACACTTTTCAAATGCCCTTGGACATTTTGGATCAGAAATCGCCGAATTTAATGATGTGTTTTCAGAAATGACGACCAAAGAGTCAAGGTTGTCATGTATGAATGAAAAGCGTTAGTAGACAATATTTCAACAAACGGCGACGAGGTTGTGGAAGTGACGCAGTCATGGTGTTATTTCCAATACAAATGTCAAGTCATTTGGTCGTGTAGGAGGAACGGCACTCCCACTTATATCCTATACTTAAACCAAGTAGAAATGTCCACTGAGCTGCCATGTGTTTGTTTCGAAACGCTTCTTTCAGGTATGAGTACTGCTTACATACATGTAACCAGATATATTTCATCCAGAGAAGTCAGAAAACTCAGTTTTCAACAGGAAAACACAATACCTAACAATGTAAGACGCAACTATTATTCTATTCGGTAACATATTGTTGTTGTGACATGTGATCGAAGGAATACGAAATTCTCTATCATCATAATACCTCACCTATTGCAATTCACTAACCAGCCATATTATGTCCCGTGTAGTCAGATAACACTACTTTCAAAGGCAATGACACAACTATTCCATTGGTTATATACTACGTAGTACTGTACTGGTGTATAATTATCCTCCCAATACAATTCTCGAATGATGCCATGCCATTTGAGAATTGTATTGGAGGATGCAAGGTACAGAGAACCGAGTAGGAACTCGCGCACAGTGGTATCGACACTATTTTTTTTCCATGGAGCATTCATAAATTCCGACGTCAACCAATAGTATTTTTTTCATATTTTATATTATAACCAATAATATGCTTATAAAAAGTTTGTAAATTGTATGATTGGATATAATAAAATTAATCAGATTGATCTGATTGCAAAATTATAATTCGTACTCGGAATCACCACTAGCGCATTCGCATACAATTCCCCATATATTTCAAATACCACTGTGCGCGAGTTCCTACTCGGTTCTCTGTACGTTCATGTCATCTCGGTGTTCACGTCCATGCTCTGCTCTATATTTATGTCCATGCATGTTCTTCTCGGTGTTAGGATAAAATAGCAATCTGAGTGGGTCCAAAGTGACGGACTGACGAAATACACTGCAACACACACTGGGAGGCTTTGCACACCGTGCCTACCCCGACAATAAGTTGCTCCCAGCGGTTTCCTTAGCGCTCACTACTCAAGCAGCGCACTGTAGTTTTTTACTGCGTACTTCCTCTGTTCCAGGTTACTGCCGACATTTACTTTGAATTGACACAGACAATCGAGCCCTCACTCAATTTGGTGAATGATACAGTGTTTGAAAGGGAATTGCATGGATTTTCGCAAAAGATTGGTTTAAAATCAGCGCTGAAAGCTATTGTAAGCCAGTGAAATATCATAAATATTGGATATTGAGAGAAATCGAAGAATTACAGCCAATGAAATGCAAATGTGGCCAGTAATTGCGTAGTGAACTTCCTGTGAAACGATAAGTGAATTTTTTCCTTTGACCTACATGCCGAAAAATCCTGTTCAGGTAGATAGTGTTTCCATTATATAATGGGATGTTTGTGTCGTACTGCGTATAACGTGAATCTACGTCCATGGTATCCTTGGTGGGATATTCAACCATAACTATCAGCATGCTGTTAGTCCGGGAATTGAAATCAAATGGCAAAGATCTATCTGGCATTGATGTCGTTTGATTAGGCAAGAATACGGCCAGCGTAAACTTAAATGTGACAATTCCAATCCTACCAGTATTGATCATTCGATTCGAAGTTGGGTCGTCCAATCGAATCGCGGCAACTCAATCAACTAGCCAATGAAACAAAACTAAAGTCCTAAATTTCAACCAATGGTAGTTCCCCGATGTTTGGCCCAAATATTAATATTTTGTCCTTTTGAATAATCCCAGTTAAACATTTTATATGCAATATTTCTAGGATATGTACGATTGGTATTAACATGTGTACATTGTTCGTCGATTTCTCCACTAAAATAGCTACATGTCCAGTCCAAATTAAAAGGACAATAGAAGACAACTAGTGTAGTACTACATATCGTTATCTCCTGTTACGCGACTTCAATTTCCACCAAGTAGGCAATCTTCACCTGGGCTTGGTTGTACACGATAAACTCGTTGTGGGTCAAAGCTGGACGTTCGAGGTGAAATTTGAACCCGTTGGCCAGTGGCTCATTCGTCACCACGTCAAAGTACTTGTGGGCAGAGTACGAGTACTTGGTCGAGTTTTCAAACTCGAGCGTGACGTGGCAGCGCACGATGCGTTCCCGTCCATTCACGTAAAACTCCTTGGCTTCCACTTGCACCTCCAGCTTGGTGACCTTGGCCCAGCGCTCGCCAAATATATGCAGCGGCTGCAGCGGTACTTGGAGGCAATTTTCCCACTCGACTTTGGTCTGCCCGGTCAAGAGCGCCTTGTCCAGCAGGGCTAGGCCGGCTCGATCCAATCGGTTGGTTTGCAGCATCCACGGCCTCACGGTGGACTTGGAGAAATCGGGAATATTCCCAATCGCCCACGCCGACGGCAGGGAAATCTCCTCGCCGAGCTGCTGCAACTTGCCGAGGGGAACTCGACACGAACTGATGGGCGTCACGAGTGTATCGTGTGGGTTTGGCTGGTATTTCGCCATCGCAAACGTACTGTGGGTCCCGTCCGCCGCGACTTCGCGGTACTCTGGCTCGACCACCCGATGCGTAGTACCCAATGCCACGTCACATAAAAGCATATAGTGCACTTTGCGCTTATCCGGCAACGTATACGGGTCACTTCCACAGTAATTGAAGCTCTTTTCAGCCGAATCGGCAAAGTAAATACCCTTGCCAAACGCGTAGCCAGTTGTGGGGGCTTCAGGGGGGGCGATACACAAGCCCCGCGACAAGATACCCATAAGATTCGACTTCTTCGTTCCGTGCCATAGAAGCGTGTGGTGGCCAGGCACTGCTATATCTTGCATGCGCTCTGCTTCGCCCTTTCGCTGTACTTTGAGCACCCTTGTCACCTTGTGGGTACTTGGTTTACAGCTAAAGCCAGCTTCAAAGTAGGCGGAAATCACGTCTACGTCGGCTGACGAAGCCGGCGTCAAGTGCACTTGCATCGCATCATAGCAATAGTCTAGTGGGTGGCCAGCGTTGGCCTTGGCCCCGAGGATGATCTTGCTGGTGTGGGCCACGTCGAGCAAGTGCCGCACCCGTGTAATCTCCTTGTTAACGTCCTGGACAGTCAGAAACGAAGCCAGCGGAACGTCGTCGCAGCTGGCGTCGCTGCGAGGCACGAGCTCAAAGTATCGGCTCGACTTTTCTGCGATACCGTCGGTTGCCGCCCGCCACGAGTCTGCCAGTGCGCCAATCTGTGCCGGTTCCAGGGGCTGATCCGTTGAGTTCATCTTCTTCAACACACTTGCATTTTCTTCCAATATAGTTTTGATCTCGGACAGCCGATCGAGGGCCGTGGCCAGAACACTCGGCTCCAGTTCCACCAATGGCATGTCGCGCAGACTATGGTCATACCCTGTCGCAGCTTGTTCGAGACACTTCAAATCTGTGACAACGCCCAGGATTTGCTGCACCGCGTCGTCCAGGATGGACTTTGGATGGGTCAAACTAGTACTGGTGAACGACGCTGTGACAGACTCGTGGTACTCGTGGCGTTCTCTGCGACGAGGGTTGACCATGTACTTGCCTATCTTTTTGACAAACAAGTCGTGGCCAAACACGTTGCCCGTCTTGCTCTTGAAGATCTTTTTGAACTCGTCCTCGGCCGATGTCACACATTTGAACGGCGTGTGCTGGTACTTGCCTGACTCGCCCATGCGGCCCCAGTTGGTGAACAGAACAAACACATCCTGGACGACGTTGTGCACGATTTGCATCCGGTAAAACACATTCACGCCGTGCTGGCCAGCTTGAACGTCCACTTTGGACAGCAGCACCGAGAACTCTGTGACACCGTTCACGTGCACGATGGCGCCAGGGCCAGCCTGGCACAGCGGGCTCTTAACCAGCGGAATCGGCACAGTTTTCACCAGGCCGCGGGCTTGGCACTGGCTCAGATACACTGTCGCATCGTGGTCCACGGGCGGTATCGCAGCATACGTTTCGCAAGTATCGACGTCCCTGGCAACCACTTTGCTGTTGGTCAGCAGACCCAGCAAGATGCCAGAGTGCTGCAATTTGGCCAAGTCCACAGCCGACACTTTGCGCTTATCCAGAGCCTCGATACATACCTTGTGCTTTAGCAATAGCTCCACGATATGTACGTTCTCAAACGACCCGTTGGCTCTGGGCTGAACCGCCAAGTGCAAAGCCGTTTCTCCATATACATTGGCCACGTTGAGTGCTGCAGCCCGGTCTGCCGCTGAAATGTCCATCGTCCAAGTCTTTGGTTCACAAGGCAAAGTCGTCGTCTGCGATACAGTTTTTCTTTCCGCATACGGAACAAGGCCCAGACAAATGCGCAGGTCGTCCAAGTGGTTTTGCACGACGGCGTGCATGAGAACCGTGTTGCCTTGGTCGTCTGTCTCGACCACGTTGGCGCCGTGGTGCAGCAGCATGGCGAGCGCGTGTTCTCGTAGAAACACTGACGAAATGTGCACGGCTCGGATCAACGGTGTCACACATTTAACAATATCGTTCGTCTGGGGGGAGCACACAAAGGACGCCGTCGTGGGGAACCGACCATTGGGCGACACTTTGCACTCTTGGAGCAAGAACTCGACCAGATCCAAGAGCACGACCTGGGACGTCTGCGACATCGTTCTGTGATCCACGAACCGATCCAATACCAGGCTTAGAACCGTGTGGCCGTGGGCATCCGGTTGGGCGACGTTGGCTTTGGAACGGCCGAGAAATACCAGCGACCGAAGCACCGCATCCGGATACTTCTCGGTCGAGTGTTTCAAGGCAAACACAAGGGGGGATTCGTTAAACTTGGTCAAAGTATGGACGAGGGACGGATCGAGATGGAGAAGGAACCGTAAGAGGTTCAAATCGCCGTGGATTGCCGCGAAATGCATGGCCGTCGCGCCCTCATTGGTCGTTGCTGACACACTCACGCCCGCGTCAATCAGTTGCCAAGCAACAGCGCGAACCACGCCTTGAAACTCGACAGATTGCTGCGCTAGCACGTGCAAAAGTGTTTCGCCCTTGTCGTTGGTTTGGGTTAGCGTTGACTTGTGTTTAGTATTATTGACCAGCCCGGCAATCAAATTTTGCGTCTACCAACATGCGTGGTTAATATATATCTCAAAGAACAAAAATAATATATCACTTAATATATATATTGTGGATTCATTCTAAACTGGAGCGACGACATCGAGAATATAGATGTACACTTGACTCGGCAGAAGAATTGAGCCAATCAGATTGCACGACGCCATGATCAACATGCAATTAAAATGTGTATGTGACTTTAAATTAGTGTGATTCGAATCCCCACGGGATATAATACCTTTTTTCCATACAACATATAATAAAAAAGCATACATAAAAGGTATTTAAATATTATACACAAAATAATACTACTCACTCGATAGATTTGCCGACCAAAAAGTCAAAAAAACAGATAGTTTTGGGGTATTGTCGATTTGATACAAATTTGGGGAGGGGGTGCAATCGAATCGCGCCGACCAAACCGATCCACAATCGATCTGATTGGTTGAATTCCATTGAGAAGGTTTTGATTGGCTAATAATTTTGAGCTCATCTGAGGTAGCCAATCAAATCAATTTAAATTCCAACGAGAAACCACGCCACCACACGAAATTTCACTCGAAAGCACAATAAATGGACCATATTGTCAACTCGATTCGAATCAGCAGAAGAATCGAATGTGTTAGGAGAATCGATTCACGAACCGCCGGAGCCAATCAAATCACGTAGTCATGTCGAATTTCTGCCAATCCAAACGTTTGACCCTTCCGCATTGGGCAAAACCATATATATATATATATATACATACTCATCGTTGTATAGAGTGTACAATATTAAATAGGAAATATCGATTCGAAAGCTATTTGGCGAAATGACTCTCAAGGCCAAATTTAGGTGAAATGCATAATAGAAGTGAAAAATCATACCAATGTAAACCCATGGCTTCGAAGCGAATCTTCGACTGCTTGGCGACGGCAGTACCCTGCATTGAGCAGCAGATGACACACGCCTTGCCATTGCTTTTGCACGGCTGAATAGTACAAGCTCACTTTGGCCTTGTTTTTGGTAAAACTCACTTGGATATTGGCGCGTTGCTGGATAAGAGTGGTCACCACCGCCTGGCGGCCGTACGCCATGGCCGTTGCCACCGCCGTATCCCCATATTGATCGGTCATTTCGAGCAGTTCAGGTGGGGCAATATGGAGGATACTCAGGGAGCTCACGACGGCGCCGGTGGCCGCGGCCACATGCAGACATGTCCGGCCGAGAATGTCTTGGCCAGTTACTTGAATCCCATTCACTAGGCATAAGTTCCTCACCGTTTCAATCGGATCCGTTGCCACCTCGGTCGGTACACTTGCCAATATTTCTTGGAAGTCGACGGCGGATTTGGCCGGATGGTCATATTGCCAGTCGAGGTTGACCTTTTGAAAGGCAAAGTGCAGCGGTGTAAACCCAAACGCATCCACGGCGTTCACGTCGGCGCCGTGCTTGACCAGCACGCTTTCAATATCAAATGTGGCTTCGGGGGTGAGCACGGCCGCGTTGACGGCAAAGTGCAGCGGCGTCCGGAGGTGCCGATCGCGGGCGTTTATAGCCGCGGGGGACAAGTGCACCAGTGCCCGGAGAAGGTGCACGTCCCGGTTACCACATGCATAATGCAGCGGCGTCCGTCCGCGGCTGTCGGCAAGCCCGATCGCCGGTGCCGCGCTCGCATGTAAGAGCAGCACCGAGATGGCCGAAATCCCAGCGTTTTGAACCACAGGGGGCTCTTCTTTTTCTTTTTCTTCTTTTTCTTGTACTTCTTCGCTGTCACCCGAGGTATCACTGGCTTGGCTTTCGTCATCCTCATCTTCTTCAATCTCGCTGGCTTTCTTGTTGTTAGTCGTTGGTGGCAAAGTTGCTACTGGGGTAGGTACTTTAGCACATAAAAAGTCCCAGCTGTCGTTAAGAGGGGCGTTGAACGAGTCGCCAAACGACACCTCGTTCGCGTGCAATTCGACTTTGGTGACAGAGAACCCTTGGAGAATGGCACTGCTAAGCGCAGATAATCCGTCGGCGTTGACTGCACACACGTCTGCGCCGCTGCTTAGCAACGCGTCGGTCATATCGGCGTCATTTCTCTCTACCGCTACATGCAGCGGTGTCTTGAGCCCCCGAAACCCTTCCGACACTTTGCCGCCAAACTGCAGCAAATTCGTGGCAATCTCGACATGGCCGTTCGCTACAGCTGCCAGCAACGGACTAGTCCAGTTACTACTGTCGTCGTGTGTATTCTTGACAACCAAGTTCGGATCGGCTTTCTTTCGCAACTAACCAACAACCATGTCACATATCACCATGTCACATATGTACTGTACCAGCGCATACACCCCTCGAGTGTGGCCGTTCTCACTTGCCAAGAACAGCGCCGTCTTGCCGGTAGCTGTCGACGGGGCGTTCACAGTCGCCACTGGCCACCCGTGAGATTCCACCACCACCTGCAGCACATCGTCGGCACCCCTCCACCGTCCATTGGCCGCCGACAGTGTACGAGACGCAGCCACATGCAGCAGCGATTCCGTCGTTTCTTTCACCACCATCGATTCCAGCTGGGTCGAGTGCTGCAAGTATAGCCGCAAGAGCCGACAATACCGATTGTCCTCTGCAGTATAATCCACATCTGCCTTGTGTAGGCGTTCGAAAGCCACGAGAGTTAGCAGCGGCGTGTGTCCGGCCTTGTTTACACTGGCCATCGCCGCCGCAATCTCACTCTTGGTGAGCCGAGTAAACAGCAAAGCCACCATCTCGACTGTAATCGCGCTTGAAATGGCCACGTAGTGCAACAGATTGCACCCGTCGACATCTTGTACGATGGGAACGTGCCTGCTACTTTTGTTTAACATCGCCGTCAGGTACGTCGGGTCGGGCTGGGCTACCGCTGTCATCCACAGGTTTTCCTTCTTGGGTCCCCCCCACGCCGCCAAGTCGGACATTGGCAAAAGCAACTCGAACAGCGGCTTGTGTTTCTTGGCCATGGCTAACGCTAATGGCTGCCGGACGTCATGCATGTCTTCATGGGTAATGTACGCCTTGTGTTGGATCAGCAACTTGGCCATTTCTACTAGGACCTCCCCCCCATCCACGTTGCTTTCCTTGTTCTCTTCGGGCAATCGCAGTAATACTTGCTGGAGGGGAAACGCAACCACTGGGGACGTGGTCGGGATGTTCGGATCCGCGCCTTTCGACAATAAGTACGCGATTTGGTCCACGGATTCTGCCAGTTTGCACTGTAGAAACAGCATCGTAGCGCCGTTCGAGTCGCGAAAGTCCACCGCGGGCTCGGTCGGGGGCGCCAGGTCCAGCAGAAACTGCGACACGTCGTACCGGCCTTTCAACGCAGCTACGGCCATGGGCGAGTACCCCCACGAGTTCTGGAACCACGTCGCAGATTCCACGGCCACCAACAGCTTGACGCACGACAGCCATCCATATCCAGCTGCATAGTGCATCACACTGTTCATGGACGTGTCCACGGCATTCCTACAAGAGGATATGGGGGAGTTTAAATGATGATAGATGATGGATGGTGGTAGAGATGCCTTTAAATGATAGATGAATTCAACGTAAACCAATTTGTGATAGATAATATCTGACAGATTCGAGACGCGTTTAAATGATAGATGAATTCAACGTAAACCACCAATCTGTGTACTATTTGATGGTCCACAGAATTCTCAGCGCCAACAAGATAGATGAAATGATAGAAGAAATGTCCAACAAGGTGGAGATGGGTTTAAATGATAGATGAATTCAATGTAACATAATGATAGATAATATGCGTTTAAATGATAGATGAAACGTACGGGTTAGCACCAGCGTTAAGGAGCGCGATGGCGACATCGACGTGGCCATTCATGACGGCAACCATGAGCGGAGTGCGACGAACTTTGTCAAGAACGTCCACGACGGTACCCTTGTTCTGGAGCAACGCGTTCACACAGTTCAAATGTCCACCTTCCGCCGCCAGCGCCAGCGCCGACTCTTTCATGGGCGTACTGGCGTTAGGGTTGGCGCCGTGGGCCAGCAGGACCTGCACCACTTGGTCGTGGCCGTGTTGGGCGGCCAAGTGCAGTGCACGAACACATACAATATCCGAATGTTCGAGCAGCACCTTGACATGTTGGAGTCGCCCCAACTTGGCAGCGATGGTCAGCGGTGTATCTTTGGCCTTTGTACGGAGATTAGCATCTGCGCCTGCTTTTAGCAGCACTTTCAAAGGGCCCGTTTCGGAGCTAGTTGCTGCGTAATGCAGCGCCGTCCAGTTGCCAGCGTCGGCTTCGGCCAACGCCGACTGGTCCACTTCTCCGACCAACGTAGCCAAGTGCGCTGGGTTGGGGTTGATCGCTGCAAAGTGCAGAGGTCGGATCGAGTGCATATTGGCTTTCTTGAGAACAGACACCTTCTTGAACGGATCCAAAGGCCCCATATCCGCCAGCACTTGGGCGTGCAGGGCGTTGTAGCCCCAGCCATTGCGAGCCACAAGAATACCCACGAGTTTGCACAGCAAAGTGCAGTTGCCACAGCGAGCCACGAGCGGAATGACCCGACTGGACGACTGGACCCAGGTATCCCCGGGGTAGAACAGCATGATCATTTCATATGTCGTGGTGGGATTTCCCCATAGAAACGTATCCACTGTCGAGTCCACGCCGTCCAAATTAAGCGGAGGCAGCGTACTCCCACTACCCTCGTCCTTTAACAACGCATTGTTGCCTTCTTTCCCCCCCCGACTCGCGTTCAAAGCTCGGCTAATATGGATGTTTATATATTATGAATTCATCGAACGTGGATATGGATAGAAATATCAAATATTAACAAAGTTAGAAACACGACACACGGAATGAATATACTACAGTAGTCTATAAAGATATAGAAGTGCAATGTGTACGTGGAATATTTATAAATATATATATATAGAAATGCAATGCGTATATATGATATATATATATAGAAATGCACTATATAGATGTATGTGGAATGTATAAATAGAAACACAAACTATATATGTCATATAAATAGGGAATACTACTATACATATCTCGATGCAATATATAGATGGAATATATATATCGAGATGCAATATATAGATGGAATATATATATATATATAGAACACAAACATGATATTACCGATTGTAGTCGCTAAAGGAACTGGTATGGTTGCCTGTATCCAACGATACCAACGCGCAAACAGGTTTCTTTGCAAATTTAGGCGGCGTTTGATCGGGTTTCGCCGCGGCTAAGAGCAATGTCAATGCCTACAACAATAAAAATATTATAACCAAGATATATACATGCGAGGGGTATATTTCTGACCTTGAGGTCCGCGCGTTCAATGGCGTAATGTACGGCTGTCTTGGGGATCCCTGCACTTCGAGTGACAAAGAACGAGTACACGTGCTTGTGCATCGATGGCTTCTTGAGCAAGTTCTCGAGCATCTTGTAGTCTTTGACCAGCACCATCCGGATAATCTCCTTGGAGCTGGATACCACGTCTGAGCATTTTGAACGGAACGCATGCTTCCCAGCCATGGATTCGTCTTGCAGATGGATGGACGTGGGCACTTGCACCTTCTTCTTAACTAACCCAGACAGTTTGTCCAATTTAACCGCGGACGTTCTAGACGGGGACTTTGCTCCATTTCCTCGCTTCGTCGTCGCTTCAGACGAGGTCGACGTCTTGCGCTTCTTGAGCGGTTGCAGCATCTCGTCCGGCACGTCTTCTCCCGCGTCCACGTTCGCCAAGATCGATTCAATCTATCGCATAAGGCATGAAAAGACAGACATGTATGGAACGGTGTCGCATACGCGGTCGAGGTGACGCTTGGGCAGTTTGAAATCGCCGGGGGAGGGCTCGTCCAGGTGAATCTCGCACATGATGGCTTGCACGGGAATCGCATCGTACGAACCCAGTCGGTACGACGTACTCTTGTCGGACACGACCTTGTCAAAGTACACCACGTTCACCTGGGCGGACTCGTCCTCGAGCATGTCCTCGATCGTGTCGTCGAGGAGCTGGGCGATCCAGAACCGCTCGCCGTCCTCGTCGCATCGCACCGCGACGATGCTCATGGCTTCGAACAACGTGTCCACGCCATCTTCATCGTACGCAAGCGTCTTGGCTGGAGGCGAGGGTGCCGGCGCTTTGGGCTTGGCGGCGGGAGTCTTGCGCTTGGTCTGCTTGGACGGTTTTGCTTTAGGCGGCATGGTAACTGCACAAATAATCCACAATGGGCACTGGTTGTTCGATTGTGGACTTCCGGATACATCTTATCCGAAATAAGAACTAACTCAACAAGATACAGAGCGATGGTCTTGATCCCAATGTCAAAGTGATGGTCTCTGATTCAAGTACTGTACTAACATTAGTAGTAAGTACCCGTACTTCGAAGTATGCCCTGACACGTGAAGTAGTACTACGTAGTAATACTAGTACTCAATACTCTATTAATATGTACTTCGAAGTACTGAAGTACTCAATATTAGTACTACACGTATTCTAGTACGTGGAATATACTACTGTACTACCGGTAGTACTCAGGGAAAGTACTCATACTGTACTCAATATTAGTACTAGTACTCACTAAGGCACATTTGCATGTCACAATATGGACTCTGAAGTTGCGTATAAAACCAAGCAGGGGCTGGTTTGTACTGTATTGGCATCCTATTATGGATTTCGATCGATACGATGCCTCTGAAACTTCCAGCCCACAGATTGCTGTCGTCGTGTCCACAGAGGCAGAGCCGTCAACAGCGTATGGCCACACAATCCGAAGGGTCGAGTCACCAATAGGGTCATCCAGAACGCTACATCTCGACTCAGCTCGGTTTTGAAGCATTTCCACACCAATCCCGGCACGACCAGCCCAAACAGCCCAAACAATACGGTCCCCTCGGTGCTGTCGAGGGCGGTCTTGGCGGCGACGTCGATGCCTCGCCCAAGAACGAGCATAAGCAGCACCGTGACCCAGTAGAAAACCTCACGGTGCAGGGATGTAATGATACTCAGTGTACGTTCGAGTGAGTATCATAATAGAAGCACGCTTAGCACCAGAATCGACCCACCGATTGGAAACCCAGCAACGGGGACCGCGGCCAACGGTGGCACTTAGCACGACGAACACGAGCCAATACATCCCTGGCGCGTACTGGCGGAGGCTCAGCTCGGACACCAGCACGCACACGAAGATAAATGAGAGCATCCCCAGCGTGGAAGGTCCGCCAAAGTCGCACGCGAGGCAGGGCGTCCCCCACACCCGAAGCAGACAGCGTTGCAGGCCAATATGCCGCTGTCACAAGGGGAACTTTGCTGTAGTGCACCGGATGCGACCACAAGGCGCCCGTGTCTTTGACTGGTGTGAAAGGGGGAACGCTGGTCCAAAAATAGCCACATAAACTAGCCATAACAAAGTTGGTGAAAGGAGCAGAGAGTAATGACATTGGTTGGGTCGAATCCGCATGTATTGCAGCTATAACAGTACTACTAGTATGGAGTAATTTACCCTATTGTGAATTTGCTATAAACTTCCAAAATTTGCGCGGTTTGTCTAATCAATCATGAATCACGCTGGAGTTCTGATTGGTTCAATATACTTGTCCTTTCTGTAAGAGCCAATGAAATCCCCTCAAAAATCGATTAGCCAATAGCGTCAATTCGTGATTCGATTCGGCGGCGATTCGATTCGACGGGGTGTGGAAATCTGTGCCGAATCCACAATAATACCTGTTAGTACTACATAATACAGATTACTTGGACAACTTGTGTTCTTTTATTGAAAAACATAAGTGGAAACGGAAATATACAGCGTTAAATTGCAAGCGACTGTTTGGTAACTCGAACTGGTTTCCGGGCCTCTTTTGCTTCCAAGTACGCTTGAAAGTCCTACGAAGCCACAATATATCGTGTTGAAATGAATTTGTCAAATCAAAGTACACTAGTAATGTTACCTTGGACTTGACATTGTACTTCTTGGTCAATGCGGTCCCTTCTTTCTTTTCGTCTTCGTCAGGCTGGGACATGAGTTTCTTTGCTCCTTTAGTCTTGTACGAGAACAGCGTCACAGAATCCTATCACTTTTGTTATGATTTCATACAAGTAATTGTTATATACATCACTGGCATACCCGCAAGACGGACGGCGGGGTCTGATGCTGAGTGCGCACAATTTCATGGTGGGATGTCCTTGTCAATTGGTCCTTGAGACTTGTCAAGTGGTATCCCCGTTGGGAGTACACATGCACTTGTTGGGTGAGTTGCTACTTAGAACATATCAAAACCAGTTCGATGCATACAATCTCTATCAGTGCTGTACATTGTTTGGACTGGTGAGGAGCGACAACTTCTTTTGCAACAGAGCGGCCTTGTCAAAGTACTCTTGTGCTCGCTCTTCAATTGCTCGAATCCCCAGGGGGACCCAATAGAACGGCTCTTGGTTGCCACCGACGTGGCGTTGTGTAAAGGCCTACTCACATTGGCATGGTCATCTTAACGGTAAGAGTACTGAGTACCTGGGAAAAAGCTGCCCAGGATATCACATGTCGAGGTCGTTCATCGTCATCGTCGGGGTCAGGCCCGATGGCTTTTCCCATGAGCGGCCACAGGGCAGACAGATTTGACTCTTCCGTCAGGGGTTGGTCGGCCCATATTAATTGGTACCCCTGATCCAGCATTTCCGACACCACCGTGGCAAACTGCGTGTTTAAGACTCCCCTACGATCGGGATAGGTTTTCATTGCAGACGTTTCATAAACCATGAATAACTTTGTAGTACTGTACCCCAATTTCTTGGTATCCAGGCTCTTAAACACCTTGCGCAGGTGGCACATGACCCAGTCGTCCATTCCGCAGTTTCGCGCAAGACTGGTCGTCGTGTCGTTGGCCTGAGGGGACGACGGACCGGCCGCTTGCGACGCTGGGGACACGAGCTCAAAACACTTGGCGCGCTCCAACTCGTCCGCGAGCTAGGAAGAAAACACGTAGGAAACGTCTCGAAAACCATCCAGTTGCTACTTTTTGGTTGCGCTCGATGGTCGCGACTTCTTTGAGGAGCATTTTTACCGTGCCAGACAAGGGGGCGTAGCGCTGCATGGTTGAAGCTTGTAACCGGGGGCCCTGTCGATGCTCATGGGCAGAGCTACCACCAGATCGCTTGATGGACAACCTAGGCGTTCTGCATATTACGAGCCCTTTGGATAGAATACTGTTACTTTTTGGCGCTCAATTGCTCTTCGGGGGTGACCACGTGTCGATCAAACACTTGCAGGGACGGAATACTGGCTATCACGTGCAGCCTATACTTGTCTTCTTCGGCCAATGGATTCCCAAACAGATCTAAACATGGGGTTGGCCATATACTGTATATATACGGATGAATGATATATGTAGCCCTACCCAGATCTTCCAAATGCACGAGCTTTTCCAAGAGTTTCAACGCGCTGTGCAAGTCGTGCAGGTTGTTGTGGTATAGTCGCAGCTCCCGCAAGAACGTAAAGTGGCGCAGCGATCCTTCCAGCGATCGAATGTGGTTATGCTGGAGGTACAAGTACTTGATGCGAAAGCAGTTGTCTAGACCCGTAATCTTTTCAATCTAATCCCATAGTATGTACGAGCGAGCATTAGTACTAGCATTATAGAGCAAACATATGCAATTAGATAGTTACGTTGTTGTGGTTCAGCCACAGCACTTCCACCGACACGAAGGCGTCGAAGTTGCCAATCACGTCGATGCCTCGATGGGACATGACCAGTTCTGTGCACTCTTTCACGTACTTTTCGTTGCACACGGCCAGCTCGCCGTGCGGGTTGGACACACGCATGGTGCTGGGGTGTCTGGTTACAGGTAGTACACAGTTACACTTTCGAAGGGTAGGCAGTGTCGGTTTCACGAGGCGTGAGACTGGTTGTCGGTTACACCTGGCGTGTGCCTTATCTCGTTGTTACTATAATTTTCCTATCTACAAGTTGCTCTGACGGTTGTTACCGTGGGAACACAAGCTCCCTGGACGTGTGTTTCTTTGCCAGATGAGGTCGTTTCGGACTTGCTTTCTTGACTGGTCGAGGTTTCTTGTCTGGGGCTTTGGTGGTTGATTCCACCGACGCAACTTCGTCTGGAGCCTTCGACGCCACCGAGGAAGGGGGTGATGGGACGAGTGGCTGGACATGCTGTTTGTTGTCATATCCTGATTGGTGCTTCACTTCTGCCATGTACGCTGGGTTCAATATGGGCACATACACCACGGGCGTGGCAGCTCCGTGCACGTGATGAGAGGACTGCATCATTTGCTGGTGCATTTGTTGCAGCATAAACTTGCTCCACGGGTATGCGTCTTGCACTGCCGCCATGGGATATGCTGGTAGGGGTGGCAACGCTGCGGTTGTCATAGCCGCAGTATCTGGCTTTAGGTGACGACCACCTTTTTTCGGCGATTTGGACTGTATTGTAGCAGACACATGCTTTAGTCTCAGGGTATTAAGTAGAGCGGCGTGGGTACCGGTTTGGTTTCGCTGGGAGTGTCGTGAAGGGTACCAAGCCGCCTTGGGCTTTTTGAACCTCCATTGGTTGTTGTAGCAAGTGGGGCATGAAGGACAGCTGGATTTGAGACATTTGACTGGTGTGATCGTTGAAAGTGCTCTCTCGCCTTGGCTTTGGTTTCCATGAGCTGGCTGTGGAGTAGATTCAGCGCCTCCAGCTCCTGCATCACGAGTGCGATTTGATCGTCAAAGTCCGTTCCGTCACTTGGCTCAACTGTCCTTGTGTTGTCATGTACAGACTCGGTAGGGTACTGGTCGACTGGTTCCATGTTCGCGCTAGAACACGCATACAAAAGGTTAGCTATGACACTTCAAATAGCGAACTAACCCCGGAATGTCTGATGGGAGAGGCGTAGTGTCGACATTGTGCGTCTTGATAGTTGATGAATTCGTTTCAGCTGGCTTATGGATGGAGGAATAGCCGCCAGCAGTATGGGGAGCCTTTCGGGACGACCCCTTTGCGACAGATGTCAAGTGACGGGGTGGGCTGCCGGTGACATGGTTGGGGAAATCCAGTCGAACTGGAGCTGGCTTTGTCGGGATCTCATCTGGAGTTGACACGAACACGCTGTCTTGGTGCAGAACGGATGGTTCGATGGGTTCTTCTTTCGGGGGATATGCCTTGCGTTTAGGGGGGCGTGAAGATTTTGTGGGAGAAGACTCGGGGTCATAAATAGGAATGTGCGACTTGCGGGGCGATTTGGTTGATTTCCGACCCCCGTTCAACTCTTCGTCCAAACTCAGCATGCTGCCCAGAATCGACGGACTAGAGACAGATTCCTCGTCGTTGTCTTCAGTGGCCGACTCACCCATGTGGCGCTTGCGTCTGGCCATGCCTGTTGTTGGTTGTCGACTTAAATTAGAATCGGTTTCATCGGAACTTTCCCCCAATTTTCAACCCATGGGAGTCGATGGTTCAATTGAGAATCAATGCCAACGGGAACAAACTGTGAACGAACTGGTGACATGGATGGCCGAATCCTCGGGTAGAAGTAACGCCCCGTACAGTAAACACAGCATAAGCATAACATTGCTAGCAAGAATTAGTATGAGGTTACACGACGAGCTTCGCACGAGGCCAGTGGCAATACCACCTGCAAAGATGAAGGGCAGGACAATCAGCGACGATATCATGAGCAAGGCCACTCCAGACAGTCCGTGGCCAGAAGTACACCTGCAGGCAACTGTGGACCCTACCCCGATCAACGCCCCACCAACTAACGACGCCGCCACCGACGGAAGGGGACCAAGGGGGAGAGGGGGGGTGGAGGTGACCGTGGCTACAGCCGATCCAGCGACGATAAACACGACAAACAGCAAAGTGGAGAGGTCCGAGATTGAAGGGACGTTGAGGCGCTTGCCGGCACTGGTGTTTCGAATGGGGTACATCCCCAGTCCGAGGACGGACTCGTAGGATTGCGTTGCCCCGAGAGATCGGCGGAGTACCAACACCAGGGGGAGTTGCAGGCTGCCCACCACTACCCCCGCTATGCTCGGTAGCCACGCGGCAGATGGCAAAGGGTCCTCCGGCACGAGGACTTCAAGTACGACAGCAAGTCCAACGATGAACAATCCCACAAATGCATGAGCCATCCACGGCAGCGCCACAAATCTCTTGACCTTGGCCTTCTCGTCCTGCCACCGACCAATCTGCACCGAAGTAATAATAACCCCTGAAAACTAGTTGAACTATACCATTGGTTTAGCCAGTGCAGAGGCGAGCAGGGAGCCAGCCAAGACCCCCCCAAACACCGGCAAAGCAGTGGGGATCCCGGCCCCCAGCTGCACATACACGGAGCCCGGACACGAGCCCGAGATGTCCATCCCGCTGCCGAGAAGGAGGCCCCCCGTAGGCAGCACCACCGCGTGACTTGGGTCAGCCGCCCGCTTCCGCTGGATGGCGTCGAAGTCCTTTGGTCGTAGGGCGTGGAAGATGGCTTTGGACACGACGGGCGTGCCCAGCGCCGCGAGGAACATCTTCATCATGGTGAACTGAGACAGTGACATTTGGTTTTGGATGACTATGGGCAAGTGTACTTTACCCTAATAAGACGAACGTGATAAGAGGGCGAGATGAGGATGTATATGAAGTACTTTATTCATGGCAAAACCGAACGCTGCCCCCGAGGTTGCCATCACGCCTAAATACAATGGCGATTTCCACGGAGGCCACAGGGGCGTAGGAGGGTCATGAGTGTCGTCCACGAGCAGTGGGCTTTGGGTAGCTATGTTTGGTAAAGATTGACTAATGATACAATTGATTGATATACACGAGTATTCTGCGAAGATACGTCAAGATAGTGGAGAGACGCATTTTAGAAATCTTATGGTGCAAAACAAACGCAAAAGTAGTACGGGATGGGCGCCAGAAACAGCAACTGTGGACCACCTCACGGCAAATTCTGTTATGTTAACGGTGACATTTTACTTTGGTGAGATTAGGTGTTGAGAATAAGGTGTCCTAGTCATCGACAAGACTATTAACCACGTCGAGCTGGCAGTTTGGGGCGATTTAGGAATAAAGGGGCCTCTGGTTCAATTACTGACTGTGAGTAGTGAAGGTTCCTGGTGCAATGAGGCGGTTGCAGTAGCTTTAAGTTACTTAGGGATAGTTTGCCTCACCAATCCTCTGCAACTGAAAGGTCGTTTTGATACGTACGTGCATACGAACCTGCTGATGGCCAGACACCAAGCTGAGCGAGGCCCTCAGCCATGCGTGACACAGCTGCACCCTGCTCATGTGGGGTGAAGTTTCGGGAGCGTTCCTTCATGCCTGTTCCTGCCGAGTCGAAGGAACGGCTTCGAGTCCCTGAGACGACATCACTTTTTTCAGTCTATGATTACGTCGAAGAATTGTACGTTTCAGCTTAATCAACACCCACATGAACTACATAGAGCTTTACGCCGAGTGGACAACCTCTCCTTTCTCGTCACTACTTCTACCAGTCATGCACGGTACAGTCGTCACATTTATATCAGCTCTAAACATATGCTCATCCAGAGCCATCTTTCACACTCCTCAAATGTCGGGTCCAGGTCCGGACCAACATTCGGCTACCCACACTCAGGCACGGGGAGTTGAACAGAGGCTCGGCCGATAACGGTGGCTACACGCACTCGCGAGGTCGTCAGTCATTTTACTCACGCCGACTTCGTTGCTCCGGGCCTTAACCCAGTGACGGAATAACACAGGAACGTCTTAGAAGTGCGAGAGGGTCGATTCTGACCAAAACACTTGATCAGGACTTCCCAGACCCTTCTCACAGATGCAGGTCTCGGAGGTCCTCCACGTAAAAACCGCCATCGCCTAACGCAATTTGAGCCTTCAAATTTTCAGTGACTTCACTTCCGCTTACACAGTACAGACGGAGCCGGCACGCATGGTGCAGGGACGTCGCCCTCGGAGGCAACAGCTGCTAGATTTTCATCAGGTAGACATAGACCACGACCAGGAAGGGTCCTTTCCAACGCGACGTTAGCTTTCCCGGATGCTGGAGAGCTCGGACCTCCAAAACAAAATCGCCCAACGCAATTTCACCTGCTTTACAGAACGTTGACCATCCCCACGCTACTGGGTCTTAGCGCGGGGTTTCGTGGGTGTCGTTTCTGCCACTTGCTTGTGCATAACGCCCATCTGCAAGCTCAGCCATGTGGTGTATCGTCTGGGACTTAATTAACTTGGTGGACCTGTCCAGTCAGGGGAGGTGTAACAAGTAGGCACGTAAACGCTGTTATTGGTGCCACTCCGTCCAAACGGTCGACCGGCTGCTGGTTCAGGGCAGATTGTATCAGGGGTAATACCCCCAGCCAATCTCCGGGTTACAAGCGCATTTCACTGCACAGGGTTTTCGAGGTCCGGACGACGATTCGGTTTACCACCTGCACTGTCCCGTTGGCCCAGGGGTTGTGTGGTGTGACAAAATGGTGATGAATACCAAACATAAGACCCAGGGTAATGACTAGGTCGTTCATAAAATGCGACCTGGAGTCGGATACCCAGGTCCTGACTACCCTGATCAAGTCAAAACATTCCATCAACGTCGCGGCCGTCTATGCTGCAGACGCTGTGGTACTGGCATGCAACTGAACGAATCAGCTCATGTCATCCATGCTGACCACGACGTATTTCAGGCCTCCCTGAGCCTCTGAGAGCGACAGGCAGTCGAAATGAATCAACTCATTTGGCTTCGTTGCCTGCAGCGCTCACTCCAGGGGCGGTGTACCGAATAACCGTCGACCACCATATAGTGCAGGTAGGCAGTGACGAAATTCTTCACGTCGATCTTCAGGGAAGGCCAATCAAACATCTCCGCAACAGATGCCGTCGTCGCTTCCTCTCTGCGGTGTCCCATCACGCCGGCACGGGCTACCATACATGTACGCACTTCCATATCCAACGCATCTCTCGGGATCCAGATCATTTGAGCTGCCGTCAGAAAACACTACTTCTCGGCGCTCCAGGAGGCGTATTTTTCACATGTCGGAAGGCCGATCTGCTATTCCGTGATCGCATTCGCTGTCGGCCATACTAACGCTTCGTCCGTATCAGAGACACCAGGGACATCCTGGACATCCGGGCACTCCGGGACTCCACCGGAAAGCTCTGGTCCGTCCAAGAGGACTTCCCCAACGGCTCAGGAGATCCGCCCAAATGTTCTCCTCTCCGGCCACACACTCCACGACGTACGGGAACGTCGTCATCACCAGTGCCCAGCAGTGGAGCTTGTGGACCAGGTACTTGACCATGTTGGAGTTCGACCCCAGAGGGTTAAACATGTACACCAGGTTTCGGTTATCCATAAACAATCGTAAACAATCGTACTCCAGGCCCTTGGATGATTCGACAACCGCAAACGCCTACTTCTCCACAATCGGCAATCACTCGCTCACTTCCTGGAACGCAGGATGAGATTCGAACTCATGATCTCCTGTTCCCAAAACAGATTTAGAAGCAAAAAAATTAAATTTAGGATTAGGGTACGGTTTTTTAGTTTTCAGCGGTTATGTACTAATATTAAAGATTAATTAAAAATACCAAATCTTCAAATTATTTTAAAAATACTTAACAATTATATCCAACGGTTCATTTTGCTGGTTGCTCGCCGGTAAGGCCAGTTCCTGGGTCGGGACCTGTGTCGCAATAGCTCCATGACCCCTCGCTCGCGTCGGTGTACAACCATACCATCTTGTCCGGGTCCGGGTGGGACAATGGGACAATACGTTTTATCGCCTCCGTGATCCGGTTGAAACACTCGAGGTGAACCCAACGATCAAGGGATCAACCAAGGAAGAACGACGCGTTTTTATGGCCGCGTACAATCTGTATATAGCCGACCGTTCACCATGACCTGCGACAAAGCAACGTATTGCTGAATGGGAAAGGATCCCGATAACGTGCCTGAGGGCGAATGGATTGCATGGTTCAAGCAAGGTTACGACGTCGATCCCCAGGCCCTGGACACCCTGAAGAAGCGGACTAAATCTGCTGTTGTTTTTGATATGTCGGTCCCGGACGCAGATTCCCGGACGCATCGGTATACAAACACACCATCTTGTCCGGGTCCGGATGCGACAGCGGGATCATACATTTCAACGTCTCTTGGATTCGCTCGAAACACTTCAGATGGTCCCCGGACCATATGGGTCACCGCCACAACCCTTTTCTTGAGGCGCACCGTCAACCGCTCTAATTTCACCGCGGGTCTCTCCCGAACTTTAGCCGAAACACGTCAACAAGCCACTGCCGGCGCTGCTCTTGGCATGCCCGCGTCAGCCGCCAGGGCCACCTTGGCATCCAGGAAAATACGCACTGGACCATCGTCGTCAGGCGCACTTTCAAGTTCTAGCTTTGCACACGTCATCCATACGTCTCATCGACCCAGACCCGGAGCCCTCGAAACATCAGCGGCCCACCCACGGCCTTGAATTTCAGACTGCCCAGGCGAACTTGTTTCGTCACAGTAATCACCTGGCTGTCCGCCCCGTATGGTCGGAGTTCCATCGAACCCATGACCGTAATTTCCGGGGATGCCTGCAGTACCGTTAATGACACTACGTTAATAGTAAGGTTACAGGTAAGGTTCCTGTTATTACTACGGGGTTTAGTAATACTAGTATAATCGTACAAGGGCTGAGCCGGTCGAAAACACATCATGAACATTATGGATCGCATAATTACACAAACCCATCAATATTCACGATCCACTCACGGTCCAAGGTGCATATATCTCGAAATTCACGCCGCTTCGCTATTGTGATGATGGCAGAAGTAAAGAATGGCGCTTCGCGGATAAGTCTAAGTACCCGAAAAAACTTCAAGAATACGTACAGTACTACGTAGTACAGTAGGTGTGTCGATGTTGTCTGCTTCACTTGGCGCCTCACCTCAAGTACCCTAGTAAAGAATATCGGCTTGCATATTTTGGTGAGACGCTCCGGATAACGTTATTATTGAAGTTTTTTCAAGTACTCAAGCGAAGATTTACGCGCGAAGCGCCATTCCATATTTCTGCCAGCAGCTCCAGCGAAGTGGGAATGTGGAGTGATTTTGCGTTAACGTAAAGTGCCAAATCACTGACCCCAAATTGGAAAAGCACCAATCACAGAAGAAACCTCTGAATACGCATACTTGCAGCCAAGCAACATCAAACCTTCAAGTACATGTTACGTCAGAAATTGGAACATCACTTTATAGAGGTATCGCATACAGTATATGATGAGCTGTACACAGCTCAATTGTGCGAAACGCATGTCGACGATTGGTCGATTGCCTTGGAAATTGTCTACAAATTAGGACTTTTCAGGATTCAAAAGAATACCTCAATCTGGAATTATGGCCCTTCTCGGAAAATCCAGCAAGAATTGGCATTCTACGTTACACCTCTTGGTCATACTACGTACTATAACTCCGGTCATGACCAAGAAGTTATATTTGGACGATTATTAAAGTCTAAAACGGCGAGTGGGTTCACTAGTCGAGTACTAGTGAACCCACTCGCCGTTTTAGACTTTAATTTATTAACGACGTAGCGATGCCTCTGATGCTCTTGCGATCGAAGATGACAAGGTTGAATCTTTATTGTGGGTGAAAACGAGTGGGGGCCATGACGAGGTCGTACGACACGTATACATCCCGACGCGTTTGCAAGTTGTACAGTGCCAGGGCCAGCGGCGACTCGAATTGGTTCGATTCTAGCGTCCTACACACGTAAAGAAAACGTACAAGGATTCGTAATCCAGTCGACGACACGATGGAGTTAGTGGTTCGTATAAGCTTAGCGTCATAAGCTGCGGCAGTTGTGCTATTATCTCTGGCACAATGCCCGTGAATGCATTGTGATCAACGCGAAGGATTTGCAACGACACCAGATTCCCCAACGCGGGGGGTAGGGCACCCGTAAGGTAGTTGGAGCTGAGATCCCTAGGCAAATACATGTCTTAGGAAGGAGGGTATATATCAATCAGTGTTCGTACAAAACTTCAAGGGCGGTCAGTCGAGCGAAATTGGCAGGCACGAACCCTTGAAGGTTATTGTGACTGAGTTTCCTACAGGTTGAACATATCGAGATAGGGCAATGTTCCAGTGTAATCGTATTTGATGAATATGGGATGGTTGACTTACAAAGCCAGCATTTAGCCACGAGTGTTGCATAGCACCCCGTACCACTACAGTGGCAACGTCAGCGCATTGAGTGAACGCATGTTTTCCATTCTGGCGATTGTTCCTCGGGATACTGTAGCCATGCTGAAGGGGAAATGCAAGGGACTTACATGGTCCAAACATGGATCGCTTTTGGTATCCAACACTGGCCATGAAGTCGTCCACGAAGGCCCCCCTGTCGCCCAATGCAGCATATTTAATGCCCCCAAATCATTCCACGAGGAAGCAGACCCCGCAGACACCAGCGTGACACCTGTAGCCCAACCCAACGCCCGGAAAAGGCCTCGCCATACCATCGAAATGCAATGTGTGCTCCAATCTTAACTAAATATAGAATCCACTCTGTTAGCGTGCGAGTTGACCTAGTGCGAACGGACAAGCCAAGCAGGAAGCGAGGTGACGAGGTATCGGACAATGTCTATACTTTATAAACTGACTGCAATGGCACCGATTCGATGGAGTTCACGTGCTGAGTTGGCACCAACGCCAGTGTTGTGTACGGATTGAATGAAAGCAACCCCAGATTATTGACTTTAGTTGCAGGTCTTGGTCGCCGTATGCCGCGATAGGGACGAAAGAGTAGGAGGAAGTAGGGGTTTACAAGTGAATTATCGAGGGTTAAACTAGCTGGGAGTCTGGCAGCCAGTGGTTCGAAGGCCGCAGCTGGGTAAACTAATATGCAGTCCTGTATACAATGTATCTACAGTGTACTTTCTGAAGATGGGACTTGATTGGCCGTTGAGTGTCGTGCGGTCGAAACGTCTCGTCCCGATGCGCCTTTAGTAATGCGCCTATGGGCAAAAGCCACAATAAGATAACGTTATGCGCTTTGTCGAGCGCATCACGCACAGATCGGGGAACTATTGAGTTGGTACTACGTAGTAGTTGATAACGATGCTGAACGGATTTAAGGGGTCGACCCGTCGTGCACTATGAAAAATACACTATCCAACTGTATAATAGAATGGCCACATTTTATCGATTCCTTGTGAGAAGCTCCTGAAGGGTTGGTAAACACTCCGATTTTGGCGTCCAGTGTAGACAGTGCCCTATGATACTGAAAGAACCACCCCATATCCAGTAACATAATATCATCCTCAGTCCGATTCAAACCCAAGTCAATGTAAATGTTTGGAATTGACTGTTAACTACAGTCATCCCCCGATTTTTGCAGCCTGGTATAAACGAATATCCTGTGTAATCCAATCTAATATTCAATTTAACAGGCTATTGAAAAATTAATACTGGGAACTCAAATGCGGTGCTAGCCCCAAGTCATATCACAATATCACGAGCGTTGTCCATTTGCCATGCGAATCCTTGCAAAGTGGTTAACTCTACATACACGATGACATGGCTGTCGGAATAAATTCGAGCACTGGATTACAAGCTAGGACGTTGTTCGATGTTTCTACTGTAAGAATGAGAGTGTACTTGATTTGAGAAATTGGGCGACCACATTTCACAAAACGTGTAAGGTATTCGGGTGTTTACGATTTGTTTTTGCTCATCGAATGTGATTAATATCCTTATCTAGTGTGAAGGTATACTCCTCCAAGACTTCATATAACCCTTGCATTTAAGTACCTCTCCGTAAAACTATATTTGGTAGGGGCTGCAAATATCGGGGGATGACTGTAATAAAATTGTAAAGATACTGTACCATCAAAGTCATTGATTTGCCGAAATTTAGACTTGGTTAAAGTATTGCAAATGCACCAAGCAAATGATACTCCGGTGTAATAGAAGTCTGGAGTGAATTGTACAAATTTTCTGGCATGAATAAATCTACAGCCGATTACGCCAATGAATATCGCAGTAGTTTCCTCCCCTAGGCGGTCAAGTCAACGTATCGACACAGTCAACAATGGCACTTCGAGGAGTTAATATCCGATGGTGGGGGGCATTGAGAATTTTGAGATATCCTAACGTTATTGCCAACTTTGTTTTGCCGATGATGGATGGCACATGGTATGCACTTGTGACCTGTCCACAAAAAGATCTCTTCGGATGCTTGGCCAACTTCAAGCGATCAACATGTCGCGGCCCTCAAGCTGGCAAATGCTGGAAAGCCAACAAATCCTTTATGGCATTGATGGTAATTTACTAGAAGGATGATTGCAACAGCAGCACCAAAATGCCAAGGTCATGTCGCCATGATTAGAGTGTCAACCGTTACTGTAGTTTTTTGTGGTGTACTACCTAAGCGGCTCTGGGGCTTCGCTTCGTTGAGTGGACTGACTGTGGCGGCGGGTGGTCGCGCGGCGTCGTCAAAGTGGGCGTCCTTGGATGCATGGGTGGCTGTCGTGGGGCATCTTGGTCTTGGGCCACTGAGGTACTAGTATTTCCTTACGTGCTACTGGTGTACTAACGTTATTACAGTATTAATATGAATAGTAAGTAACGTAACGAGGCAATTTATGGACACCTTTTTTGTCGAAGATAGCTCGAAAATATGTTGCAAATGTTGCAAATTTTATCTATTTTTTGATCATTTTATATCCCCATAAAGCTTAGGTTGTGATTGATCGAATGGAACTTGTTTCATCAAGTTTAAGGAGGTATTACAGCAGTTAGGTGGCTTTGAAGTTTTGATTGTTCATTGGATGAGATGGGCCAATTTATGGACAGGGTACATTATACTTAATTTGACTATACTAAAAGTTCGTTCGATTCGAAGTTTTCCAATGGAAACAAATATAAGATGCCACAGTATATATAAGAAATCAAAGGATATAGAATTTAAACGACAACTTGACTCACAGTCAATTACAATTCCACCATTTCGACCACATCTCTCGGAATGAGCCGCAATGTCAACGCCCTGACCACCAAGTAGGCTCAGAAATGGTACGGCGTCATCAGGATCATCACCGTCACTACAGCTATCTCGTGTGGATTGCAATGTCGTGGTGGCTCTGGTGGGCCAACGCGGTGGAGGAAGAGGTCTTGGTAGCACCCATCGCCTAGTGCTAAAACCGCCACTTCAGCACTTGCGATGGGTGCTACCAAGACGTCTTGCGCCACCGCCCGCGCAACCACGTGATCACACCGGCAGGGAGATGGTACCGACACGGGCTGGATGGTGGAATGAGGGATGACCAATTTCATTGGGTTAGTAGGCCAGTGGTAAATTGAGACCTGGTAGAATTGACCGAGTCCTGAATACCACATCACATGATCTTGCTCTCATACACAGCCTAACGTTACATAATTATCTAAATGCTCCTTGCATCAACAGCCATCACATGAGTAGAATGTATCGCAACAAGGCGTGATGAGGCATGGAGCGGTGTATGCGGCTACAGTACTCAACCCGTCGATCCTGGGCTGTCCCGCCCTCCACCAAG